CATAGTAGAAGACTAGAGGCGATGGAATGGGTGAACTAAAGGTCAGTCTTGTTCTATATTCCCTCTAAATAATTGCCCAATTTATTTTTTTTAGTTTATCTTTTAAGTTTGCTCTATATTATTTTAGTTGTGGGACTTCAACTTTACACTGACAATTACAATATTATCTAACCTCACGGTCCTCACCATATTTCCCTCTCATTAACTCTATTTTACCAAATATGTAACTCCGCCTCTTTAGATTAAATAAAAGGAGACGAAAGAAAGTATAACTGGATGAACAATGAACATGCTATCACATATCAAATGTTATACCAACCGTGGTAATAAGTACATATTTAGTTTATTTAGGGAAAAAAAAGTAGGCACTTATCACTGTTGGTATGTAATATGGAGTACTGATTTGACAAATAGATGCTCCAAATTTGTAGGATAGAACCTCTCCGTTTAGTTAGTTGCTTGTCTCGCATTAGTTGTGGACTTGTGGTTGCTTTATCACAAAGTAATTTCGAAGTCTATATTTTGTGTTTAATTAAATATATACAAAAAATTGAAAAAATATGCTTACAAAAAATGAAAAATTAAGCATTTCCATAAAATCCTCAAGAAGCTAATTTTAAGCTTCCTGCCGACAAGGTGATAGGAAAAGTAATGCTAATGCCCAAAAAAATTGGTAGCTTTTCCTCCATTTTAGGGGTGTGGGAAAAATTAATAATTTGACAATTAAGAGTATCATACCAACCCCTTAATTGGAAATAAATTAAAGGAAAACGTTTAAGACCATACATAATCAAGTGTATAATGTAAAGGTTAATTAAAGTTCCAAACTAATTAATCCCTTTCTTAATTTTCATATTAAATTCAAACAAATGCTAATTGAGAAAGACCTATGGTACACTTCTTTTACTTGTTTATTTTTCTTACTTTTGTCGAAAGGGTGACTATTCATGGCCTTTTGGGTAGGTACATAAAGGAGAATATTGGACTTTTGTAATGTTTAAATTTCTAGTTCACACATTCAAATTCCTTTAAATAAGTTGGACGATTCTAAATATCTCATACGCTTAGATCGTACTTATGTTTCATTTAAAAAAAACAACAAAATATATGAAATATACTCGATAGCCATTTACTGGCCCATGACTAATCACAAGCCGTTTAGCAGTAATTAGTATTAGTTTTGTAAGTAAGAAGAATAATTGTGTAGCAATTATTCGAGTTGTAATTGGATTCCATTTTAAAATTACGCACTTATATGTAGTTTAAGCCTCATACTTAACATAGAGGATGTTACTTCTCATTCTTCCTGGCTAAATGGCCCCACTTTGCCTTCATCAATTAAAAAGGGGATCCATGAGTTATTGAAGAAAGAAACAACTGCCTTTGAGTAATAAATCCATACACAAAAGTATAATAGATGTCCACAACTCCTCACCACAATATCAAGATAATTTTGAAAAAGAATAAATTAAGATAAACTTTGTATTTAAGCCAAGGACAAACCCCCAAAGAAGATTTCTGATGAGATTCATTATAACAAGTCATAAAGGACATATGCACATTCTTCCAATACTAAGTAATTTGATATGATATGATTTGATAATGATTTCATCTAGAGTGTTGAAGAATCTTTGCAACCATCAAAATTACTAATGTCATGGATTTCTTGACACGACATTAGCAAAATTAATAGAATAATTAAGTGTATTTTTCAACCATATTAAAGATGTTACTCAATCTAAGCTATTGACTTTTGAGTTATAAGGTTAGATCATGCATAACTTATTCTTAAAATTGCTTAGAATTTACTACACTAAAGCTGGGCTTCAGTTTGCTTCAAGTGCCAACCTTAGGCCCAAGCCTAGTAGCGTAAAAAGGCCCAAACAATTATCCATACTAAAACAAGAACAGTGAATTCACAAGCTCTTACAGGTATTGTACAAGTTCATAAGTTCATGAATCCATAATGTTGTGTCAATAAATACAACCGTGAATTCACAAGCTCTTACTACGGAGTATACAAGATCATTCATAGTGCCGTATATTGATAAATTCTCTATCAAACTTTTTTGATCATTGTTTTCTCAAAACTTCTCAAACACTCCTTTTTTCTACTTTGTTGGGAATTGATTCAATTAATAAAAACACCCATGCTATAATTCATTTAAACAAAAACACTCCTTAAATGTGATATTCTATTCTTACACGTGATCTATAATCCCTAATGAGATGGATGACGTATATGTCTAGCATTCTTTCGAAGAAGAAATAAAATTGGACTCAAAAGTTCAATCTTTAGAAGTGATCCTCATAAACGATAATATTATTCAAAATTAGTAAAATCCAATCTCGATTGGAGGTAATTGGTAGGGTGATAACATGAAGGATTACGGATTTATATTATCAACTCATACCAAACACCGCACAAACAAACTAACTTTTGAAATTGATCTAGATCGGATCAAGGTGAGGACATTACCTCAATTCATTCTCAATTCCACTTTGTTTAAAAAATGAACATATCCACATTGGACTATTACTTCTTTTTAACCAAATGCCATTCTTTCACGCTTGAAACTAGGGTTGTTTATCGGTCCAAGACCGGACCAGACTGAAGACAGAAAAATTGAATATCAAGAACCGAAGATCGGACCGATTAAGCTAGGACCGAACCCAGACCGGATCGAAAAAATCAGTCCAAAACCTGAACCGGGCCGATTTTAGAATTTTTACTAAAAAATTTCTAAATTTTAATTAATATATGGAAAACTCGAAAAAAATAAAAGAAAAACAATATTTTAACGTCTTTTTTTTTGTATGTTTAGTACAAAAAAGCTCATATGACTAAATTTTTCCAAGCTTGTTAAGGAAAATCTTAATCATTATTAACGGTTTATAATTTTAAGCGAAAAACCGGTCCGTTCCAAGACCGATTTTTATAGAGTTTTGGACCGGACCGAAGATCGGAAAAATAAATTTCTCGACCTAGAGACTGGACCGAATAATTTGGTCCGATCCAGTCCAAAGTCGGTTTGGTCTATTTTTTCGATCCAAACCAATTTTTGAACACCTACTTGAAACAAAACTTAAAAAATCATTTTCACCAATACAACATTTTCATATCATTAAATTTGGTGATTCAAAATCATTTTAAACAAGAAGTTCCCCAACTTTACAACAACAGCAGCAAAAAGTGGTACAAAATATTAGCATTTACACTTCCATTTATCCAAATTCCTCAATTGAAATTCAAAACTTCATGAACAACTAGACTAAGATCATCAACTAATAATATGAAGTACACTAATCATTAACTAATACAGTAACATTAGACTAGATCATCGAATTTTCGGATCGGATCAATCGCGAATACTCGGATTTTAAGAATCATACCCTCTAGGCTTAGGAAATGTCATCCCCCTACGTTTAACAGTCTCCAATATATCAACATTCTTCTCTCCATTTCCCTTCTCATCACTCACATACAACTGTTTCAGTACCTCAATCAAGCATTCCATCGCAGTCGAAATCGATTTCGAAGCTTTTCCCGCCAATTTTGCCCTAAATTCTTCATCCACTTTAACTTCCTCAGAATCTTCTTCACTCATTTCCTCCTCTTCGTCCTCGTCGTCGCTGCTAACCGATACCACATCGGAATCCTTCAATTTCTCCTCAAACCCTAGAATTTTGACTTGATAAGTAGGTGCTGAAACGGCGCCGTTTGAGGTTGATTCAGAAGTAGATGGAATGGATTCAATGGAGTACATTGTAAAGTGGACGTCGTTGTCGTTGGGGATCTCGCCGGAGGAGGATAATTCCGGCCAAACAAAGTCGTCGTTTCCGGCGTAGAGGGAAGGAGAACTGTCTTCTTCTCCGGCGAAGAAATCGCTGTTGCTTTTGTGTTGTTGGGAAGCTGGGATTTTGTTGTTGTTGTCTGTTTTCAATTTTTTCATCTCATTTTCACCATCGTTGCTCATCTTTCATCAAATTTTCGACTGAATAAACAACTCCTGGTGTTTTTGTAAAAATGAATATCCTTTAAAAGGGAAGGCCGGGGGTGTTTAGTTTTTGCTCCATCTGTTTTTAATTAAATGCCCTAATTTACTACTTGTATAAATGGACATTTTTATTTAAGTGCCCCATTACTATATACTTCCTTTTTTTTTTTTATTTATAAGTGTTACACTTTTCAAATATTATGTGCTGATCAAAGTGTAAGACTTAAGAGGTCGTTTAGTTAAACCTTTTGAAATGAAGTTAGAGTGCACTCCATTTATATTTTTGTTTTATTAGACATTTTAGGTATGGAATCTCATACTAAGAGGTTTTAACTTTGCCCCATTTCCCTATATTCTCATACCCACCTCACCTCTTATTATGTTCACCTTATTTATTTTAGGTCTAATAGGTTCTGATAAGTTCAATTAAGTTAAAATAAGTTTGGTTCAAGAAAAATAAGTTTAGATAAGTTAAGTTTAGGAAAAATAAGTTATAATAAGGGCAAAGGGTTATCCAAGTTTATATTACAACTAAAATAAGTTTCTAATATATTAAGATAAGTTAAGTTAAGTTAAATTCAGATAAGTGAAAATCAGGTGAATAGAACATACCTTAAGAGGCAAAGATTTATGAACATTCCTTTAATGAAAAGTAAAAACCATTTCAAAATATAAACCAAATAAGTTTAGACAAGTATGAGGTTTAGAATCCATACCTCTCTACTCCCTAGTATGACTATATGAGATCCTCATATAGTCATACTAATCTATTCCGCTTTAACGTACCAAACGACCCCTAAAAAAACATGGAGGGAATAGGGAATATAGCAAATTAGCAAGATAGCAAGTTGTGTTGTTTAATTGAAAGTAGCCCTTGAATTGTAGAATTTGTTATATACACCCGAATGTATCATACACTCAACTAATCCAAAGTTAGTATTCATCCTTCATTTGATGATTAAATAACAATCGTGAACAAAATACCTGTGGGTATATGATACACCCACTGTATATAAAATAGCCCTGCCTCTCTCGTAGTAATAAAAACGGATGAACATAGCCCTGCCTCTCTATCAGTTCTCCATTGAAGCGCTCTCAACATCGCACTTTACGTTCTTTATTACAAACTATTCGTTCTATTTGATCTAAGCTTCTCCTGAGGTAAGTTGTTGTTTCCTTTTGTAATCATCATATCAATTTCACAATCTAGGGTTTAATTTAATTCAATTGTCTGTGCACTAAGTTTAGGGTTCCAAAATCTCAACTATTGGTTAAGATTATGAAAGATGATAACCAGCGATTATATTGCTAGAAAAGAAAATTATGAGCCTGATTTGACAATTGAATCACATATCTCTAAAATTATGTGATTTTTCGAGATAATTGTATCAAATTTGATTGCTAATGTATTGAACAACCCTTTAATGTTAGGATTGAACTATGAAATTGGCCGATGTAGCTTTAGTTTTGTTGTACTTTATAGTGTAATGCTTACAAAGTATATGACTTTAGAGTTTGGTAATTCTCCTATCTTGCGTTCTTGAAAATAGAATTTGACTTGATCAAACCATTTTAGGATTATTCATGCGAATTATCTCCTATTATCAACTTGGCTGATTTAGATGTAAATTATGCCGACTTGATTGTTTTGAAGCTTTCAGTTAGTGACTTTGTGTGTGGTTAACAGGCCCGATTTAATTTTTAGGCTACGATGCATAATGTCCGGGGAAGTCTCTTCTTATTACGGAGATTCCGCAGCTTGCATACAATTTCCCATGATACAGCAAGTGAAATCCTAAAGAGAAAGGTTGCTGATCTTGAGAAAAAGAGGAAGACAAGAAATCCGAAGAAAATTGAGGTTTTTGTTGAAGTTCCAGAGTCCATGGCGTTTTACGATACAGCTACCTTGCCAATGATGCTTACCGCTGTCGGGGTTGCACTTTTTGCCAAACTTCTTATGATGGTAATTCTTCGTTTTCTTCTTTTGGCAAGGTTCATTATTTTCCTACTAATAGCAATGCAGGCATTGGGCTTTGTTTTATGCTTTCATGACAAGGTTGGAGAATGCTTTTTAAAGTATATATTCTATGCTATTCCATTGGTATTGCTTGATATGCTTCCAATTGCAAGGGTTTGGACTTTGGACTGTTATTATGAAGCAATAATTCTTTGAATTCATCTTTCACATGAATGACCTAAAGTTTGTACCTTAAGAATTTCCTTACACTTTTTATGGATAACAGTAAATAGAGAAAAAGGGATAGGGAGGGAAACAAATTCCCTTGTTTAGTTAAGGGGTATGGGAAAGGAAGGGGAGAGATTCATTTTTCCTCTTTCTTTAATAAATGCCATTGATTTGGAGGGAATATGGAGATCCTTCCCTCCCCTTCTTCAGTTCTTCTCTCACTCCACTCTCCTTTCCCTTCTATCTTGCTGTCCAACAAATTGTTAGTGATGACAATTTTCTCATAGGTCTTCTACCTTAATGTATCTTCAACTCTGGTAACAGTGTATTAAATGCGAGGGTCTGGAGTCTCTGGACTTTGGACTGCCACTATGAAGTACTAATTTTTTGAATTCATATCCCACTTTAACTACCTAAAGGTTGAACCATGGTGTTGCTTTAGTGATGACAATCTTCTCGTAGATCTTCTACCTTAATGTATTTTTAACTTTGATAATAGTGTCCAATTTTCTAGCCCGTATGTGTACTAAAATTTTCAAACTTTCATTGTTAGTTAGATAATTTTAAGTCTCAAATCACATCTTTTGGATGAGTTGGAATTGTGTTTGACGAGTGTTATGTGGAAGTGCCAAACCCTTATTCCCCTCACTAAGTTATCTATGTTTGTTAGCTGGTGACCACTTGCTTTTTCAATAGTTCTTTAACAAATTGTTTCCATATTGCTAACATGTTTATGCTGCTCGCTCAACCTCTTATGCTATTTATTCTTTTCCTTTTATTATGTCAGTGTGTGTTCACAAGATTTGAGAATTGGGACTGTTTCTGTTGGCTGGCAGTATGATGAGTCAAGATCTCAAGAATTGATTGAGCGCAAGATAAGGAATGCTCCTCCTGAACAAGGGACGGTTAGGATGCTCACCCGTGAAGAGTGGGAGGAAATTCGAGAAGTGAGGCCCAGGACACCTTTTGAGTCAAAGCTTGCTCGACCTAATGCACGAATAAGGACAGGAGGTGCTGTTAGAAAGGTAATCTCATGCTATACTTATACTGCTTGGCTTTTTTTATTTTCCTGTATTTACAATTTACTGCTATTAACTTATTTTTTTTGTAAAGAAGGGGGTCGATTTCATAACACATTCTGCTAGATAACATGATTAGGGAAGAGTATTGTGCTTTGCCGACTGTTTCCTCTGTACTATCTTCTTTTTAAAGGGCCTTTCAAAGTTAAGGATATTTTCAGCTAGCTTGCCTGGTTGGTACCTGTCAGTGTTTGTGATGCATGGTCAAATTACTCAAATCGACATGAATTTTGGTTGTTGAAAGGTTCGATTTCAACCTTCAAGCAACCAAGATTCTTGGGGGCTTTCAACCTATAGTAAGTAAGGAATTTCGTGGTGGACTGGTGGATTGACTTGTATTGTAATTTTAGAAGAAAGGATTTTCTGATATGGGGTGGGGAGGGGCAATAAGGGATTTAGGAATTGATATATTAGGGATGGGTGGAGTGGTTGTGCAAGTGGGAGTTGTAGAGAGAGTAGTGGCAGTTTTGGGTGTTAGGGGTTGGTGGTAATGGTGTGCGGTGATAGCTGAAACCAAGCATATATGAAAGAGTAGGTGCCTGACAAGCAGCCCTTGGTTGATAAGAGACAACCAGCTCACCCCTACTTCATGATTGGTGTGGTTGTCACTGGCAGTCTTACTGAGAGTATATGGAACTAGTCGGTGAGAAAGAGAGAGGTCCCGTGTACTTATATGATCTGATAAATTGGTATGTATGAGGGAAAGAACCACTTCTTATATTCTTGTAAAAATGGCAAAATTCTAATCTTTGGATTTTTTGCTTGTGCAGGAGGATGTGAAGGACTGGGGAATCGATGTCCTTATGGATGCTGTTACACGAGTGGAAGAAAGTGTCAAACATAATTCGAGGTGATGTTTAGGCTAAATATCGATCTCAGATAAAGAGCGTACTACTTTCACGCTCAAGCTCATAAAATTATCAAGGATTACCTCAAAGGTTCTTAACTCGCGAACAGGCTATGTTATGTTGGCTTATTTTTAAGGAAAGAATCCTGTGTTCGTCCAATTTGGATCGTTGACTATAGCTCTTCCCTTGATATTGGATAACTGGATGATTATACTGGTATGGACTACAGAGTATTACTTATTAGACCTTTTTTCATAAGACATGCATGAATCATACAGAAGAATGTCGGAAGCTGCCTTTGTTTTTACTTTTAAGGTCCCATTTTAAGTTGTGACAACCCTGTCAAAAAAAAAAAGTTGTAACAACTATTTTTCTTCATTTCATTGAAAAATACGTTCGCCTTCTATCTGTGTATCTATACTCATTTCACTCCATTAATCAATTTTATTTCCTTTCTTCTCGATAAATTTATCTATGCTCATTTCACCAAACTAAAATGCAGTTTGAATAGCATTTTTAAGAAAACCTCCTAAAAGATGAGCTTAATGCTTTTTTTTATTATTATTATTATTATTTTTTTATCTTGGTTGAAAGCTCAAACTAGCCCAAGTTGAATAACATAAATATGAATAGGGAATTCTCTATTAAAAAAAATGAATAGGGTATTCTCGGCTTAACCTGACTCATTTAGATCCCTACATTTGCACTAGGATGGATCTAATCTAATTAGACTTAATTAATTAAGAGTATAAGAAGTCCAATAAAACAATTAAATTTGGATCAATTAATTTTACTTACCCTACCCAAGATCAAAAGTTGGGTAGCCAAAGCATCCACAATGGAGCAATTTAGGTCCTAGCTTGCAAATACTAGTACATACTACATAGATCGAACAACAAGCTTCACCAATGTAGTGCAACATCACTTGTAGCTCTACGAAACTATGTGGCTCTATAAAGCTACGTAGTTTCACGTTTAATGATGATAATAATGCAAATAGTTTAATTGGAATTGCATTTATTTAATGTTTTTGTTTTGATAATTGACATGTGGGACCTACTAGTACTTATAGCTTTCCATTGAAGAGGTTGTAGCTTGGAATTGATATACAAAGTAGTTTGATAATAGTGATGTGACAAAGAGAGCTATAGAGGTTGTAGCTTCTTATTTGAATCATAATTATTTTACTTACCCCACAAAGGCCACATTTATTTCAGAATCACAAGCTAATTAATCTTGGTTTTGATTAATTTCATTATCACTAGTTTTATTTCCTTATTGTTTGATTTAGTTCCTTGTAATTTGATTTATTTCCTTATAATTTGATTCCCTTTTGCATACTTCTTTTTGGCAAACTAGCTATTTAAACCGACTTATTTACCATCTTTTTTAGATAACTTCATTATCATTTTTAAAATTGAATTTAATTCAATTACCCAAAATTTAGTCATGACCTCAAAAATGTCTATACTAGTATGTTATTCTATTGCTAGCATTTTAATGGGAATTTTGTGTGGAGTACATGGATCATCATCATTCCATAAACAGCAGCCTGTTCTTACCATCAAGGTGTGTTTTCCAATCAAATTATTTTTACAATTGTAGCTTTAATTAGCTCTATTGTAAAATACGAAAATCAAATCAATGATGTTTACAGAAGATTATAATAAGATCTTAATTTGTACATTATTTCCAATCTTTACTTTTTTTTCTAAGAAAATAATTTTAAATGCTAAAAGTACTTCCTAAAAAAATTAGGCTATTTTATACCGAATAATTATATATCCCCCGTTCTACAAATATTGCATCATGTTTATTTTGACGCTACTGACATGCTCTCCTTTGACTATCTATTGCGATTTATATGTAAATATGTAATGAATAATATAGTCATGTGGATATTGTTAAAATTGTTTCAATTTGTAATTTTAAGATATCAAATTTTATTACTCCGTATTATTATTTATTGAGAGTTAGACATATTAATGATCAAAAGCTATAAGTTGGCAACGTAAAAATCAACATAGTTTAATATTTTTTGAATGGAGGAAGATAAATCTTCACCAGAAAAAATTTATAATTGTTCACATATACTTGTATTAATTTTTATGATTTTTTATTTTGCAGACTGAGAATGGCCAAGAATTTGATTGCGTGGATTTTTATAAGCAGCCAACTTTTAATAATCCATTGATGAAAAATCATATGCATGAGGTAAGTCAATGAACAATTGAACGCATGTACTTTTTTTATATTATTATTTTGTAAGTAAAGGGAAGACTATAATTGGTTGGAACCTCTTATAAGTCAAATCGAGTTCAACTAGTGAGCATTGAACAAGACCTCTATATATATGTCTATTCAATGCTTTGACTCTTTGAGTTCATTATCTTCTTATTTTCTTGTGTGTGATAATGAAAATTATTAATGTTATAAGAAAATGGTTGCATATAGGTAAACATAACTTCTTTGCAAAGTCAAGAAGGGGAACCCAAGAATTTAGGACTCAAAAATGGTTGTCCATTAGGAACCGTCCCTATTTTACGATCATTTTACGATCTAAAATCTTCAACTGTCGAGCCTAACGAAGAAGGAGAAAATTGTGTAAGTGCCCTATTATTTAACGAATTCTTATGTAGATTTTTATCGTTAATGGAGCAAATAAAATGAAACGAATGGACTAAATCTTTTGTACGTAGTGGTGTATGTGATCGAGTGAGACAATCAATTTCCCTCTCATTATTCTATTGTTTGGTGTAGATTGCTTCACTTCGAACTACAGGAATTGGAGGTAGAGTATTTTATGGAGCTAGTGGTGCAGTAAGCATATATAAATCTGTAGTAGCTGCAATGCAATGGTCCGCTTCTCGAATGAAACTTCAAAGTGGAAACGATAGTATTGAAGCTGGTTGGATGGTTAGTTTAATTCGAGTTTAATTAATTTCACGACTTCTTAGGTAAAATTTCCACCTTGAAATGTATACTTATATTTTACGAGTATTATCTTTAGGTAAATCCACCTCTATACAGCAACTCTGATCCCCATCTTTATGCAAAATTCACTGTAAGTACTTTTCGTATTTTATACACATAATATTTGTACTTATTCATTCAAGTATCTTTTTTTTACTCGATCCATTCTTATCATAATTCTTATTATTAATTTATCATAGGCTGGGCCAAAAGAATGCTTAAATTTACAATGTCCGGGATTTGTTCAAGTGTCCAAAAACTTTCCTTTAGGCGCTACGCCTGATCACTATACTCACATAGGTGATGACACAATATATTATTAGAACATATCTATCAACAAGGTACGTACGTACATAAATGTAAACTTGTGACATTATTAAATGTTACTCTGTTCACAATAAGTTTAGTCATCAAAACGTATTAAAATAAGTATCGTTTTCTTTATGCATATTGATTTTATCTTAATTGTGGTGTAGCATCCTGATGACGAAAATTGGTGGTTGTCAATTTATATGGATTCGAGTAACATTCCCGTCGGATATTGGCCGAAAAGCTTGTTTACATCATTGGCAGATTTGGCTGCTCAAGTTGAATGGGGAGGCGAAATCAACAATCCTGGTTATAAAACTCCAGATCCTGACATGGGTAGTGGTATAAAGGCAAAAGATGACATTGATAAATGTGCAGTGTTCTTCGGTCTTAGAGTTGATAAAGGAACATTAATCCCAGAAGATACAGAAATATATGAAGAATGTAAAGATTATACAGTCTATGATGCTGGAACTCGAGATGATTGGGGTCGTTTATTTTTTTATGGAGGTCCAAATGAATAATAATTTTTGAGTAATTATTGCTCCAAATAAGTGGAACTAGTATCTATCTTCATGTAATTTGCAGCAAACTTTATACTTGCCTTAAAGCGCTTTAATATGTTTTTATTTATTTATTTATTTATTTTTTATTTATTTATTATTATTATTATTATTATTATTATTATTATTATTATTATTATTTAAGCGTATTATAAGTAGGTTAGGTCATGTTCAATTTACCTTAAGATTATAATTCAGATTGATGTAAATAAGTTTAAAAGAGAAAAACTAACTTTGACAATGGCTTGTAAACCAAACGAGGCCTAAATACAAATATGTTTAAATTAGTAAAAATTATACAGAATACTATAACTAGTACTCTGTAATTTAGTGCAACTAGTATTGTAACAATCTGGTCTTAGTACTTGTGCAATGTCACGATCGTCATAAATGTTAATTTATTTACTCGTATTATTAGTTCAACACTATTTTTTTTTTTTAAATAAGAAATCAGTTTTGTCATGTTTAATTACACGGCAATAAAAAGTCTAATTTATTTATTCTTAGTTCAACACTTAAAAAAAAAAAAAAAGAAAGAAAAGGTTTTGTTGTGATTAATTACTCCGCAATTAAAAGTCTAGTCATGGAACAAAAAAAGGTTGATTAACTGATAACAACTTTTGTGAATATAAATAATGATACATATTTGTTTCAAAAAAAAAAAATAAAAAAAAAATAATGATACATATATTAACAAGTTACTCGTAAAATATTTCACTACAAACTTACTTTTTATTTTTAGTACGGAGTATAAAGAAGTACAAATAATCAAAAGTTGCCCATGCAACTCTATTTTGATTGAGTGATTGTAATTGCAAGAACATACATGTATATTTGAACATGATTCACATGAACGTAAGTAGGGTAATGCTCAGAAAGTGGGGATAACTCTAGTGGTTAGACCTTTTTTCCCGATTTCAGGATATCCTAAGATCGATTATTTTCACCTCCGTCCGTGTGGCTCTCTAAACACGAAAAAAAAAGTAGGGTTATGCTCAATTCCGCTTATCTCGCTTATACCTAATTAACACGTGCATTAGCTCGGATATAAATTTATTTATTTATCTATTGAGGAAGGATATACTTCATATTTAAATCTCATATACAAATATTAAAAGTCTGATAAAATAATTATATTTAGAAAAGTTGTTTTACTTATCTACCCTTGTTATTTTCTTACATAAATAATGAAATGGTTTTGATTCAATTCCTTTATCAATTTTGATTTATTTCCTTTTCTGTAGATTTCATTATTTATTACCTTTATAATTTGATGATTTATTTCCTTTTATGTACTCGTAGATTTTATTTTCCAAACCAATGATGCTATTTAAACTGATTTATTACATTAACTTCTAAATTATTTCAATACCATCAAAGTGTGTTTTCAGATCATGGCGGAATTGGTGGTTGTCGATGTATGAGAACAAAAGGCCAGTAGGGTATTGGCCAAAAAGCTTGTTTACATCATGGCAGAAGTAGCCACAAATGTAGAATGGGGTGGAGAGATGAGCAATCCAGGGTTAGCTGAACCAGACCCTTATATGGGTAGTGGTCTAAAGGCAAGAAAAGACCCTAGCAAATCAGCAGTTTTCTTCCATATGGTCGTTGATCGTGGTTTTCTTATCCCCGAGGATACCGAATTTTACTGATTTTACAACCGCGGATGCAATCCTTTCTGGGGTCGTCACTTTTATTATGGAGGTCCTTATGAAATTATTGAGTAAATATTTATTATTACTCCGAGAATTTGTGTAGAATTATATCTCTATTTTTGAATAATTAAATAAAAAAAAATCATACATCACCCAATTACATTCTCGTACTCATTTTTTATAAACTTAAAATAGTGAGCTTGTTCGTCCAAAAAAAAAATAGTGAGCTTGACTCGATTATAGGCTCCGAAAAAATAATGTTATATAAGTCTAGGCATGGATCAATATGTACAATCACTTATACCCTAGTACAAATGAATCTTCCCATCACTATGATAGAAGTTATTATGGAGTGCATTACTACGGCATCGCTTCAAGTATTATGGAACGAGGAACCCTCTGCTAGCTTTAAGCCAAGCCGTGGTGTTAGACAAGGAGATCCACTATCCCCATACATTTTTGTGATGTGCATGGAACGTCTTTACCAAGTTATAGAGGCTGCTATAGTACATGGCTATTGGAAGCCAATTCGAGCAAGTAGAGATGGGCCTCTTCTTTCGAACCTCTTCTTCGCTGATGATATAGTCCTTTTTGCGGAAGCCACAGTTGATCAAGCGTGTCTAATCAAAACATGCTTGGATCGTTTTTTCCGAGCTTCGGGCCAAAAGGTGAGCTTGCCTAAGTCCCGAGTATTCTTCTCTAATAATGTTGAGACTGACTTACAGAATGAGATTGGAAGCAGCTTGGGCATGGAAATAACAAAGGACCTTGGGTTATATCTAGGAATGCCAACACTTACTAGTAGAATCACCAAGGATACATATAGTCATCTATGCAAAAAAATTGACAGACGTTTAGCAGGTTGGAAGTCTAAGTATCTTTCTCTTGCTGGAAGAATTACTTTAGCTAAATCCACTCTCTCTACCATGTCCCTCTATTCTATACAAACAGCTAAGATTCCTCGCACGACTTGTGATGAAATAGATAGGAAAACAAGACGATTTATATGGGGTGGTAATGAAGACAAGCGCAAGATTCACCTCCTTGCCTGGGAGACCCTTCAAAAACCGAAAGAGCAAGGGGGTGTTGGTATCTACTCGGCAGAGCAAGCCAATGCTGCCTTCCTCACAAAACTGGGATGGAGGGTAATTACTGAACCTAATTCCCTATGGTCAAGAATATTGCGTGCTAAATATTGCAAGGGTAGGTGTGATATAGATATGTTTGAACCTAAAGCAGGGATGTCAAATGTATGGAGTGGAATTACTGAAAATGCAAAGATTCTTGGAGAGGGTATGCAAACCGCAGTAGGCAATGGGAATAACACGTTGTTTTGGGATCATAAATGGGTGGGGGGTGTACCTTTAAGCAACTTGGCTACACAACCAATTCCCTTAGCTGGAGCAACTGTTGCTGAGATGTGGGAGGAAAATTGTGGATGGCGATGGAACGTTTTTGCTCCATTTCTCTCGCAAGACACCCTCAAACTAATACAAAGCCACGAGCTTTGTGTTGACCCTAGTATAGGAGACTTGGTATATTGGAAAGGTCGTGATTCAAAGGGAAGGTTTACGATTAAATCGGCCCTTCGGATTATGAGACAAGAATCTGACTCTTTAGATGAAACTTGCTGGGATCTAATTTGGAAAGCCCCAGTTCAGCAAAGGATACGAGCTTTCCTATGGCTAGCTTGCCATGAGCGTATACTAAGTAACTTAAACTTATTCAAGCGAAATCTCGATAACTCCCCTGCCTGCTATGTTCGTGGTGCACACGAGGAATCTTCCCTACATATACTTCGGGATTGCCCTGCTGCTAAGATGGTGTGGCGCAAACTAATACTCCCGCCACACTTTGCTCAGTTCTTTCAAGGTAATATCAAGGAGTGGCTAGAGTTGAACCTTGCTGGCACAGAGAGTAATATGCTTGAGGATGGCCTACAATTTTTGGGCTGGCTGTCTGGTGGATTTGGCGTTGGCACAACTGCCATGTATTTAATAGGAGAGATGAAATTCTAGTTGATATGGGAGCCTTCCTAAGAATAAGAGTGGAGGAAACCAAGCGCAGTCTATCACTAAGTGATAATGAGCTAAATCAGACTCCGAAACAAAAGATCACAAATAATATTTCTTGGATCCCCCTTGCTTTTGATGAGTATGTTCTCAACTGTGACGGAGCAGCCAAAGGATGCCCTGGCCTTGCAGGAGGTGGAGGGATCATTCGTAACCATGAGGGAATTGGAAGGTTTATATCTGGTTTCACAGCAAACTTTTGTAGATGCACTTCCATAAGAGCTGAGATTTTAGCACTTGTTAAAGGCCTTCCGCTCGCACAAAGCTTGCAAATTATGAAGCTCGAGGTTCAGCTGGATAAAGGCGAAGCTATAGGAGGGGAAAACATTCAGGAAATTAATGAGTGTTTGAATATGCTTCGTAATGGAAACTGGGAGGTGAAAGTGGCCCATATCTATAGAAAAGGGAATAGTGCGGCGGATTGGTTGGCAAACCGTGGAGTCTTGGAGACACTAATTTTTGTATTGTAAACTTTATTCCTGTATAACTTGGCAGAATTCTGGATGAGGACGCAAGAGGGGTAACTAGGCCTCGCCTAGTTCCTCGGTAATCTTGAGCTCTTATCTGTGGTTCTGTGTTTTTTGGTTTTTTGGCTTGTTTCTTTTCCGTTAGTTTGTAGCTTTTTTCCTCTGTCTTTGGATGTTATCCTCATTTGAATAAAAAAAAAAAAAAAAACTTATAGTTATAACTATTTTCAATTACATTTACAAGCAATCAACCGATCATGCATCAAAAAAGTTATTTTAAAATTTTTCAAATCAATCAAATTAAACCAAAATCATTGATATTGTTTGGAACAATAATTGTTTTAAATTGAATCTGAATTTCAACAATCAAATAACAAAACAATCTACTAATAATATCAAGATCATCATCTGGCTTGGAGAATAAAGAGGTGCTATTAAACGAATTAGATATTAACTCTAAATTACCAACTTAAAATGTTTATATTGTTATGGTTTGCTTATTACATCCGGAGTTTGATAAGTTGAAGTAACATCAGTAGATACAATATCTTCATCTAGTCCATCGACAGAAGGTTTAATGACTGTAAAGAAAAGTACATTATAAAATATAGTGAGCAAAAAAAGAACAAATGCTGTATATCCTAAATATGATCCTGATATTTCTGGTGGCTCATCTCTCACTTGCCCCTTCAAACTGCCAATACTCGAGGCTGCATTTATTTTCAAACGTGTTAATTTGTTAGTCCTAAGGCGTAACATGAAAAAGGTAACATTATCACGGGTATTACTGTCTGTAATAGAAAAGAAACCTTTGAACAAAAATCAAGTTACTCCAGTTTGAGTTGGGTGGTACTACTCATTTTTCACCCTTTTTATGCAAGTTTGTTAATCACGTGTCGTATCAAACAAGGTTGCATATACCATCATATAAACTAAAACAACTATCAATAAAAACGAAGGGAGTAAATTAAATTAGTACAATAAGAAAAGTTAATAAAAATTTAACAAGACCTTTAATTTTAGGGGGATTGACTTGTTTGGATGAGAGAGAATCAAGCTGTTGGTCAAGATCACTAAGAGCTTGTCTAGCCTTATCTTGGTCCACTACAAAATTTGAATCATTTTCCATTGCTGATGAAATAATCCACCTTTGATGATAATTGCTTCTTTTGGGTAGCGTAATTAGTGGATTAAATCTCCAATTAATTCCATATAAACCATGATTATTAGTAGTAGAATTATTGGGATTGAAGAAGTGAAAGCAGTTGTTTAATGGAGTTTGAGGTGACAGAGAGCAAAGATGATGCATTTGAGGAGGGATAAGGTTGTGCTTTGATTTTGTATTTTTCACCACCCACAAATATTTAAACCGTTCATTATAATATTATTACAATTTCATGTGGGTCCATATGTGTGGTTTGTGAGGGAGGATCTTCGTAGAGGTTCATAAGAGCATCTTTATTGGTGAACCCAAATAAATGGTTCATGGGTCACTATCACCATTTCTCTCTCATCCACATCAACCCAACATACCATTTACAATATTCACTCTTAACAATGAACACTAAACAATGGTTCATCATCAATACTCCCTACCCCACCTTATTTTATTTTTGTAAATATAATCTTTTTTGTTTCATAATTATAATTTATTAACCCGATGTCAATGTAATTAATTGACGTATTTAATATTTTAATCGTGATTACTAATTAAGAAATTATCGCATTTTTTTATCAGCTTTTTAAAAAACTAATTCTTGTGATTAATATTTTTTAAACAACAACGCAGCTAATTTTAATTAACAAAAAAAAAAAAGGTACAAATCGTGATTACAGTTCTACAACTATAATCTAGTACATTTTATTTAAAAAAAAAAAAAACAACTACACATCGTTTTGTAAGATGTCCTTAGGGATAACCATTTGTTGTAAACCTAGTTGCCTAAGTTTTCGTTGTTACCAAATTTATTCCATATATGTTCGACCAAGTCGTTTTTTAGCTGCAAATGAGTCTGTTGATCCTCAATCTCTGTTCTACGAGACAAGTATAAGCCGATATCCACAATACGATCAGTACGGTACTCGGTAGTGTCCTCATTAGCGTTGCCTCCAGCATTCATAAACTCATTGGTATTAACGTTATTTTGATACGTCTCTCGTTCATCTTCAACGATCATATTATGTATTATGATGCAGGCGAGCATGATATTGTGGAGTATGTCGGTATCCCACGCCAAAGACGGCTTTTTAATAATGGCAAAACGAGCTTGAAGGATCATATTTTGACCCAAATTTTTTTTCTTCTTTCATTTGTTTTGGGGTTGGTATTAGCATCCATAATTATAATTTATATTTGGAAAAAATAAAAATTTAATAATAATAATAATAACGACAATAATAATAAAAATAATAATAATAACGATAATAATAATAAAAATGATAATAATAACGATTATAATAATAATAATAATAATAATAATAATAATAATAATAATAATAATAATAATAATAATAATAATATTGGTAATTATAGAGGGGATTTTTGAAGAGAAAAATATAGTAGAAAGAAATGGATTTTCAAAGTTGAAGAAACTATAGCAATATGGGTGTCTATTTATAGAGGGGAAAAAAATAGAGCCGTTGGTAATTTTTTTTTTTTTTTTATTTGTGTTTTGTAAAATATATCCGTTGCAAAATTACAACGGATTTATTTAAAACAGCAGCGGCTGGGCCAAGTGGCGCGCTCCCAGCCGCTGCTTTCTATTTTTTTCCTGAAAAAAAATAAAAATGGGTGGGGCCCACAATCCATAAATTCGTCCAAATGCTTGCAGCAGCAATCGATCCCACAACCATTCACTATGAACAATTATAGAGATCACCATTAAGCCACCCATTCACTTGTTCACTCATTGTGAACTATTTTTTTGTTCACCCTTAAGGCTGCCCTAAGAATCCAATTGTCCAATCCCTGTAATTTTTGAGCTATGAATAATATATAGATGGGACAATTGGAATTAAGAGTGATTTTTCAAAATAATGTAATAACACAAATTAATTCATTATATACATTGGTTTAAAAACTATTTCCCACGATATCATCCACGCAGGCTCGATTTCAGGGTTTAATATTTGCAAGTATAAACTCGCTAACATTTTTGACGGTTTTAACTAATATATAACCTATATTGGTATTAGAAGTTCTATGCATAGAACCTCTAATGGTATTAGTGGTTCTTTATGTAGACCGCTAATACCATTAGCGGTTCTATATGATTTGGTTGTAAAAGCTGAGGTAAATGAGGTAGGTTTAACTTAGAACCGTTAATGGTATTAGAGGTTCTACCTCTAATGGTATTAACGGTTCTATATATAAAACCGCTAACATTGTTAGCGATTTTATACTGCGAAATTCCAAACCTAGGAACCGATCTTACGTGGAGGGTATTGTGGGAAATAGTTTTTAAACCAACTTACATAAGGAATTAATTTGTATTTTAACATTATTCAGGGAAATGACTCTAAAATCAACAAGGGTTGATTTAAGCGGTAAGCAATTGATGTCCTATAAAGGATGTATATAGAAATTTTATTAGAAGACTCACTCACCATAAACCAACTGTGCAACATAGATTAGATCCACATATAGTCGGAGCTTAACTTTTCAGTAAATTGAGTGGTCTTACTAAAAATAAAAAAGATTGGACTATTGAAGTAGAATCTCATCATTAACTAACCACCATGCCCATTCATTATTAAAAAGTACCATTGTACTCGGATTTACTAGTTTCAAAACTTCTAAACAAAAATTTCGCTTATTTGACTCTAGTCATACGGATTATTAAATTTTTTTAAAGTGCTAATATGCTACAATTTTTTTTTTTTACCTTCATCTGTGCTAATGTTTACCCAAAGCACCAACATTTTTATATTTGTACTAAATCTTGGTCTACTGGTTAAGATTGTTACGTTCAAATTCTCTCTCCTCATTCTAAATTTGTATTGCGCTTGTGGCTCATTTAAAAAACAAAAAAAATATAATAAATCTATACGGAGTAATATTTTACTCACCAACGTGGATGATCGGCTCTGAGGTGGCGCATTCACACGCCGCCACATCAGCTCATTAAGCCAAAACGACAAGTAATTACGTCGTTATGCTACACTCGAGTACGGCATAAAAAAAAACAGATTTTGTAAGAAAGAAAAAGTACATAAAAACGTTTCAATTAAGTTCGTCGAAATACGTGAAACACCCACCCATTTTTTCTTCCTTCCATCACAAAAATAATCGGAGGAGAGAGAAAATATGAAGAAAGCCGGCGCCGATAAGAAGAAAGTCCGGCGATCTTCCGCCGGATCTCTGCAAAGCGGCGGCAGTGATACTCCTCCTCGGGTTTCGCCTCTTTCTCTCTCCTCTTTTTCTCGCATTTTTTTGTCGATTTTTTGATATTTTTTTGTTTGATGATTTAGGGTGTAAGTTAGTTACAGATCTTGAATTTCGTCGTTTAATTTGTCACATTTTGAATGATTTGTTTCTTGATGATTTTTCTGTTTATGGAATTAGTTGTCGGTTGATGATTTTATCTGTTTTGGCTGATGAATTGTTTAATTTTGGTGGCAATTTTGTTGTGAATTGAGGTTTAATTGTTGTGATGAATGAAATTTTAGTTTGTTTTGCTGATTTAGATGTGAATTTTGTTTATTTTAGGTTGTTTTTTTTCGTAATTGGTAGATGTTAACTGTGTATGAGATCATGGTGTTTAAAGAAGACTAAGCAATGCATGTAAAATTTGTAGTGTTTTCTCTTCGGAAATGACATACGCATAGTATAATTTGCGATGTCCGAAGAAAATTTGTTTCATTTTCGGTACTTGTAAGTTGATTATTGCTTGGATTCCTCTTGATACGGACTTACGGAGCATTTGGAATGAATTAGGGAGAGAGAATAGGAGGGGAGTAGCAACTGTTTCAGGACGGATGGAGCATATTGGAAAGACTGGTACCAATTATGTGAATTCATCTTTTCGGTGATGTATATGATTTAGTGGCTTGATTTTCTATTCGTTTTTGATTGGTTAGCTCTAGCAGATTGGTTACTTTGGTATTTTGAACCCATTTGAAACAACGAGTATATTACAAAAGCAAATGAGGTGGCTCTTTTATTTCTTATAGGTTATTCTTTCCTTGTTATGTAGCCATGTTTGTCTTATGTAGCTCCTTTTGTGTTTTTGAGGAGGTGTGGATACATCTCTAATTTGAATTGTCGTGTTATATTTCAGAAACAAGATGTAGAGAAGGATGTATACCTGTTATTTGCTGAAAAGGTGAGAGATCATAAAGAATTGGAGTCAAGGTGGGCAGTATTACAAGAGACACGCGTTGAGTACTTCAGGGGGAAGGATTTTGTGAGATTCTTAAAAAATCACCCAGAAGTCAGAGATATACTGGGATCAGATAGTAATCTAGAAGCAGAAGATATTGCCGATGTACTATTGAAGAAAAACCTCATTGTACGATGTGACCGTGTTGTAAAAACTTTAAGGCCGGGTAAGAAGAAGTTGTCAACATGGCCTGCACATTTGGAGATCTTTCCTGTAAGTTTCTTTTTTGCCAGCCTAACCCAACCCCTTACGTCCTGAAAAAGCAGGAAAAGACGCGTTTGGAATTAGTTTTGCATTATAAATTAGTATGTTTGACTTTGAGACATTCATTAGGGTAATTTTTCTTTTTATAAACTTTGCTTTCTTTTGACTTTTAACTTACCGTGCTGTCAAGTCAGTATTTAGAGCTGTAAATATGGGTGATCACAGTGTACACATTTGTGAGAGTAGAGTGTGGGGTGTACACCACTATCCTCTCACTAAGTTGTTAATAGCATGTTGCTATTCCCTTTAGAAGGCTCGTGCTATATGTTGCTGATCAAATATGGTTTAGACCTGATTAATTGTTTATGTGCTGGGCATTTGGGCATGCATTGGCTGCTAAATTTTTTTGTTTCTGAGGCTTTGAGCTCTCGTTGTTTCGATTTGGTTTGGAATAGTTGAGATGTAAGTTAAGTATACTTGCTATTGTTCTTATTCTTAGTGTGTGGTCCATACGCTTCTAAGTGTGCCAGGTAGGATACTGTGCAGGTCTCTGCGAATGATTCATCTTCTCATTGGATCTTAAGTTTGAAATTGAACATGTATTGTTAGGAGAGGAACAATGATTCATATATTAAAGCAATGTGAGGTGTTTTGGTACTTGCATTAGGAATTTTGTCTTTTTGATACGCTCTCTCAGATGTACATCAGCGACTTATTGCTGCAATGGTGGGTTTGTGAAATGCTTTCTTAAGATTTAATCAATTCTTTGTATCAATCAATAGTGGGCGAAATAGGTTTTTGACTTGGCTTAATTTTATTTGGAGAATAGGTTTTTCGATTATTGAATGTTATGTAGTTATTAAAAGCTCTACATTTTGATTTGAGAATTTGTGGTTGACCTATATTGTTAATAAGGATTAGGTTTTGTTGCAATGGTGAAAATGTGTTGGGAAGAGATGGCAATACCTTAATTGGTAGAGATTGAGAAAGTTGAATGGAAATAGTAGGATGGAAAAGTAAATAGTGGGGGAAATAGATGGAAGCAATGAGAAACAGAAAACAAAGAAAAGAACAGGAGTGAAGTAAAGAATCTGGAAGCATAACAGGAGAAAGAGCTATGTATTCCCAATGTGATAGTAGTCAACAAATTGCATTTCTTTGAAACTACAAAATCTATGCCTCTTTATATGCAGAAGTATTGAACCATTTCTACGAACAATTGCAAACACAATTTAAGCTATTATGATAGGGATATATGAGAACAATTTCTTAGAGTTTAAAGGAAACTAGAAGACAAACAAATTTTCTTTTAGATATATTTCATTTATTACTTCCTCCGTTTCCCTAATATTGCAACAATTACTATTTTAGGAAGATTTACAAATATTGCAACATAACCCATATTTGCACATGCTTTCTACCTGTCTTTCTCCTCATCACATGGATCTTTATCTTTATTTTATGCTATATCTCTCCTCATTTTAAATTCCGTGTCTTCCCTCCTTGTTGCAATATTAGGGGAACGGAGAAAGTATTCCCCCCCCCCCCCCCCCTAATATTTTAAATTCCTTTATTATTATAGTTAAGTTTATGAGGAAGTTAAAGTATATTCGAGCTTTCATACAAGGGTGTACATGTTGAAGCTCTAATAACCTTAAACATTGTATGCTATATACTAATTATTTAGAGTAAACTGTGTCATTTAGAGCAAGAAGGAAACAAACTTTTCATCCTCCCCTGTAAAAAATTCTTAATGCATTAAACCTTCCACACCAATAATTACCATCTGTAAGGGGTGAGTAAATAAGTCAACAACCAAGAAATAAAGGGAAGATAGAAGCAGTGCCATACCTCAAAGCTCTGGTAACCCCAAACAAAATTTTCCCCTTTGCTCCAAATGACACAATTTTCTCTGATTTCTCTTCCAACCTTTTCAAATTCAAAGATGCTTTTACTTTTGTTCTGATCTTTGAGATGATTTTAGATCCCAGAATCAGTAGTAGAAAATCTGGTTCCGGTTGGATTGATATGGAATTTTCTGTCTTAATAGAATAGTGGGTTCGTTTGTCTGGTTTGTATAGTTGTGTGTTTATGTGTCTCAGAACTTCTTAGTTACTTGGATTGGATTTTTCTTTAAGGGATTACTCTGTGGGTTGCTTTTTAGGACTCAATAGTTGGAAATGTTTCTCGTCAACTTGATTTAGATAGAAAGCGTTTTTGGGTTGGTGTTTGTCTAGCGTCCCTTTGTGTTGCTTCTCACAATTTTGGCTTCCTTAGGCCAGCATAGTATGAGAACAGTGAGGGTTTGGTGAAAGGAAGGTCTAAACAAAGTGGAAAACATTTTCTTTGTTGGATGTGGTAATATGTAGGCCTGATTTTAGAAATTATTCATTGTGTCCAAAAACGTGTGGGAAAACATTTTTTACTGGATGGAATGTTGATATTACTGAGTTAGTCATTAGTATCATTACAACGGGTAATTTTCTTGTTATAAATTCCATCTTTTGGCCTTCAACATTGGATGGTAAGGGAGCTTACAAGTTGTGTTTGAGACTCTGTTTCTGTTAATTCTGTAAAGATTCTGGCTTGTAGACCTATATAGTTCATGTTCCTACAGCTCCTCTATAGCCTCTTTTGCGTCACCATTTGCAACCAAGCTAAATCTTATTGTCTGAAAATAAAACATTGTATGCAATGTCTTGGGATTTTTCTACATCACTTGCAATGATTCTTGAATATAGAGGTGATTGCTGAATATTAGTGCAAATTATATTGCCTTCCATAGCCACTATGCTAGGCATGATATCCTTCCCTTGCCTGGAAACTGTGCTCGGTTCTTGTCTCTTCCTTGGGTTTTCTGATGCCCTGTGGAAGACATGAGGCCCTTATTTTTTGTGCTCTGGTACCTTAAGTTTTATAGTGTTTTTGCATGGAGGAATAAAATACCTTTGATGAACCCACCAGGCTTCACAAGGTGCCCTATATGTAAAGGAATATTTCTGACCTTAGGTCTAGTATTATTGTGGCTGAGAATAAATGAAAGAAGGCGTTAGGTGACAAGTCTGTTGACATGAAAGAGATGAATGGATCAGGCATGGAAACTGGAAAGAGGAGTGAGCAAACGCAGCTGGCTTTCCAGGAAATGATGGTCATATTAAAAGGAGTTGAAGCTCGTGATTAGCTTCCTAATCCATTTTCTTGCTGATTTTTATCATCAATTTATTTCCCTTTTTATTCAAGGGTGTATCCACGGTCTTTATCTTGGATTTGTATAGACTCTGTGCGATGCAAGGTTTTGTGAATTGTCAAGTGAAAATTTTCTGCAATTTTCTTGTTCCTCTATTGTTGTAAGATGCATCTCTGGACTTTTGTTTGGTCTTATTTGTGATGATGGTTCCTCTAGTTTCCAGAGCAGTCTGCATATTATTTGTAAATTACATCTTAAAATGTAGGAATTTGTTTTTGGGTTTGGGTTGGATCCATGTTAATCATATGCTGTTGTGAAGTCTGTTCTCTCTGTTTTGACATTGCTGCTCCATGACGTGTTTATGCTTAACATGTCTTCTGAAATATGGACTTGTCAGGGTACAATCTATGACCATTCATGTCCTCCTTAATGTTGTTATTTTGTAATTTATGATAAATTGGATTAGCGAAATATTCTCATGTACATTGGGGTTTTCTCATCTATTTGATTGTCCTGGGAATTGAACGCTATAGTTTTCTTGTGAATTTCTCTGTCCGAGTGTTTGGAGAACGGGAATCCAGCAAGATTGAGCTAGTTCATAATGTGTTTTGTCGTATTTTACTGTTCAGTACTTAAGTCTTTAACTGTATCTCTCTGGGTTGTCAGTTTTTTCTAATTAAATGATAAACTAACTTACCTTGAGGCAATTAGTATTATCTCCTCTTTTTTTTTTCTTTTTTTTTTTCTATTATTATTCTATAGTTGATGTGATTATGATTCTTATGAATCTAGGGTAAGATATATTTGCTGTCCCTTTTGCTAAGTGACTAGTCTTTTCTAACAAAAGTCTAAAGTTTTTCTTCCCTCCTGTTGGTGTTCATTTGCTGCTTTTCTTATTGTGTTGCAGGTTCAAACCTTTTCAGATAATGATGCTTTCTTTGTATGGACATTCATAAAGCGGCATCCGTTGTGGCAGACACTTCTCTCATTCTCTTGGCCTGTTTTGACATTAGCAATCTGCTTATTTCCAGTATACCCACACACGGCCAAGCTTGTGGTACTCTACTCGTGTGCTGGGATTCTTCTACTTATACTTAGCATTCTAATGTGTATGTTTCTTATGTCTTAATATTTTTTTTTTGTTGCCAGCTGTTGTTTGTTCCTTGTTATCCTCTTGTTTCTGAATTTATCCATATTATCCTGTCCTATACTTGTTATCACTTTCATTTACTGTACTTGTTATTACTGTATGGAGTTGTTGCCGAATCGCTAGATCCCTCCACCCCACCTCAAATCTTTATCTATCAACTGTCTTCTTTGGTGCAACCTTATTGCATATTTTGCACTGGTAGCTTTCAATCTTATTGAAGATTGCCAGACTTCGTCTGATAATATTGCATGAATGGGTGGTCTTATTTTATATATATATATATATATATATATATATATATATATATATATATATATATATATATATATATATATATATATATATTGCTAAACAGATTACAAGACCCATATATTTTTAACTTGCATTCTATATTCTGTCTGTCTTCAGTTCATGTATCACTGATTTTTGGTGGTTACAATTACAGTGAGAGCCACAATTTTTGGTGCTCTTTGGATTTTCCTTGGAAAGCGCGTGTGGATTTTCCCCAATATTCTTGCAGAAGAAGCAACATTAAGTGAGTTGTTCCGTTTTTGGCCTAAAAAAGATGAGGAGGACCCACCAAAGTGGACTAGCCGGCTTTTCTATGCTGTAACATCTGTTGTTGTCATATTGATTTTGAGACATCATGCTCCTGATGAAGCTGCTCGAGCTAGGTTAGTGTCATATTCAAATTTATTTTCGTCTAGCCCTGTACTGACTGGTGTCTGCCTTTCTTAATTTGCATTTGATTTTTATTTTTAAAAATTTATTCTTAGTGTTGTGGTGCAATTGCCTTACCAATAATACCCATGTTGGATACTGGACACTTTGAAATGGCCATTGATATTTCAAATTGTGCCAAAATAATCCAGACTTCTTTGGAGATGACAGGCCCCATCATATAGTTTGGTTTTAATTTTGTTTTGCGACCATGTTCTTATAACAGAAGTGGTAACCCAATAGGAGATCCTTGCTTTAATCATCTAAGGTCTAGTTACGGAACCCCACACACAACACGTTTAAATAATATCGGAATTAGATATTTTTTTTATTATTTTCCTGTACAATAGAATGATTTACTTAGATTGGGAAGGTGCTACAAATTCCACTGGTAATTGGAGTAATGAGTTAAACACCCTTAGACTTATAGTTGCATATAGAAAGTTATTTATTTACGGAGTACATCCCAAAAAAAAAAAAAAGTTGTGTTGTACAACTTTTGCAAGGAGATCAAGGAGGGTATGAAGTAGAGATAGAAGATAGTAGGAAGGGAACAGAGCCTAATGGCCAAAATTATGTTTTCAGGTACCAGAGGAGGGTTTCTAACATCATTGATGATGTCCTGGAGTGGTCCCCGAAACTGGCTATCTCAGGAATAATGAAACAACAACCTGAGGGAGTCAATGTGACCGACTTTCAAAATGAGTCTACAAGTGATAGTGGATCCAACTTTGAGGTGCCACCACCACCAAGTAGCGTAGATGTTGATGTTGATGTTGGTGAAGAGCCTGTGGAAGAAACTGTAGAGGATATCGAGGATGACAAGGGGCAGTCACAACAACATCATGGAGGTGTATAATCCATATTGTGTTAATTTTGTCTACTTAAAATTACAGTTTTATGGCTACCATTTTTGTTACATTTCTCTCCCTTTACAGTGTAAAACCATGTATTTAACGTGTGAGAGAAACCTAGGGGATCCTTTCATCTGATTTTATTTGAATTGAACTTATTGGACTTTATCTTTGTTTCACCTTTTGCTTACAAAAAAATTTGCTATATATATATATATTTGGGATAATGTGAGAAGTGTGAGAAGCAATTACAACCCTTAGATCTAGAAAATTCAACCCACCTCATTAATGGCATTACTGATAATTTTCACCAACTTTCGTTGCACATAAAAACTAAAACTGCTCTTCAATTTTTTAAGTATGCGGTCAAAATTATTAGATAATTACAAGTCACTTTAATAGCCTGACTAAAACGAAAAAATCGCACAATGATGAATTTAACGAAGTGCTTCGTGTTAAGTTTTCTGGCAAAGCTCAACTAATTCTCGTTTTTGGAAATACAGTACCATTTCATTACTCACGCTTCTCACCTTAAGTACCCTTCTCACCAAATCCTAACCCTATATATATATAAATTGAGGTGAAGTGAAAAGTGATTGCACGCACTCGATGATCGCAATCGTTTTAGCATTATTGCCTCTAGCATTGTCAAGTCTCCAATTTCGTTTTAACATTGTTGCCTCTAGCATTTTCAAGTCTCCAATTTCGTTAATCAAATGATCAGGTAGTCGAGTACAACCAAAATTTTCACTTCATCAGGTCTTACATCTACCTAAAATCAAACACTCACGCGTAAGAAATCCAATCACAAGTTAACTTATACAGAGAAGCTTATACATAATTTCCTACTCCAATATTCACCCTGAGAGTGAGCAAAACCAACCAGCAAAAGCTCACTATTCAGCCATCTTTAAAGCTACTAAAGTGCCAGTAAATCATGGAGTTAGTCTGAAGTAGAATTGTAGAACACAAAATCTTGGTAAACCTATTGTTCCAAACACTTTATGAGCTGCAGCCAGCCAAGAGTATAGTAATATCTCAAATACGAACCTAATAGCACCATAAACCTACCAACTATACAAAGTACTAAAATGAAGTAAAAGTCATCAAGATCGAACATCACGAGCTACCAAATGATGATATCTTAGCCTCATAATCCTTCCTCACTAACCTAAAGCTCTGAACTACAGAAAAATAAAAACTACAAACTGTACATAATCCAGAGGGTATGCCGATTAACACAAAGGCCATCACACAGCTAATTTGCTATCCAACTTTATCCTACTCTCCCTGACACCCACAAGCACTATTAACCAGCCAAGAATGATTTGCCGCTTGGCTATTTAAGGCCAAGAGAAGATCCAATCTGCCATAAAAAGACGAGAAATAGGACATATACATCTTCTATCCAGGTAGTTGAATTCTCGACTCCCTCGTTATGCTCAAACTATCAGATGGCTAGTGCACATTGTGGAGCCTGGTCACTGGACATGCTGCTACCCCATTGCTGGTTCGACTGACCTTCCCCAGTTCTAGTTCCTCCTGAACCGTTGGAGATGTCAGCACGTTCTTCATGGGCCTCATGCGAATGGGACCCTCCCGCATCTGATTGTACACAGAAATTTTCCGAAGATCAAAAGAGAATAAAGGCAACATCCTGAAACTATCCAATGAAGATCAGAAGGGTAAATCAAAACCTGATGATTTATTTTTCTCATCAGCAGAGTGGCTAGAACCTTCAGCTTCACCCTTCTTTGCAAAACGTCCTCCTGTACCTCTAGCCCTTCTCAAAGCATGTTGGTGGCGAGACTCATGGAGATATGGCTACAGAAAAGGGGGGGAAAAACCACATTAAGGATGCAACGCATTTAGAAGTCACAAAAGACAATTAGATATGAAGTCTACATGGATCAAGCATGCAGCTACCTTTCTGATTTTGATAAGTTTCCTTTCCAGCTCAGCTTTAGCACGGACCTGCCTCCGTCTCAAGATTCCATGATACTGCTTAGCATTAACATAAACAGGTTCTTGTGCCATCTCAAGAGGTAGAGGCATCCTAGGTTGATGCATCCCATAAAACTGGGGAGGAACCTAATCGTATCATATATTAAAGAAAAGATTTAGTCACACAGGTACACAGCATTACCCAGAGCCCAAAAACAAACAGCATATCTAATTCTTAAAATTAACGCCAAACAGATAACAATGTTTTGAACGATTGACAGCTGAAAGCATTTAAAGTTGACAGATGAAAGAAACCTCTAACATGGGAACCCTGTTAAACTGTAAACACAATCGCAAACACAACTGTCCTAGCTAGCTTTATCAACATTATACAACTGTATAACATCCAATCCACGTTAATTTAGAGGTACCCCCTCCCCCTCCCCTCTTAAAACAATTACTACTGTAATAAAAGAATGGAGAGCTGTCGAGTTGAAGGTGGATAAAGCACATTACCATAGATAAAACTCATCCAAGATCATCAATCGGGAAGATAATATTACACTCAAATTCCCCTAGAAAAAGAACACTTTTTCCTTTTATTTTGAAAATCCTATAAATCCTAAAACTTCCAATTTTCACAAGTTGTAAGATTAAGGCAATTATCATAAACTTTAGGCTAACCACAAGCACTAAGACAAAGTGATGCTAGGACAGAACCTTAAGACATAAATCCAATCAGTATTCAGTAGTCTGGAGAACGCCACAACCCTGATAATCTTGTCAATAGAGCCATTCCAATAGCAGAATAAGCTATTTTAATGCTTAAGTCTGCCAGCAAATAGTCATTTCAAAAAATAGATTTAGACAGGTTAAATTATAGACTTATTGCTTTAAGAAAAATAATGCAAAAGTGTGCCGAAGCCTAGAGACTGTCAGTTCTCAAAAAACAAGCAAGCTTCAGCGATGTTCAATTATTTTCTTTATTAAAGGCAATTGACATTTTGAAAGTGACTACTTGTCATAAATGAAAGCTTAAAGGAGGTCTATCATGACCATTTATAAAATAAAATAAATAAATAAAAGTATATGTAACTGAGAGGTGACTTCCAAGAGCGGGGAAAAAACGGAGTTAGACAATTTAAAATCCTACTTACTCAGTGGTTAATTACACAGGAGAATCTCCTCCGCGGACATGTTAAGTAGGATATGTATTGAGTCTCCTATTTCTGCTCCTATGCGTAAATGTCACAAATCTGCAAGCATTCATTTATTTAAAGGTTCCAAGTCCAAAGCTGTGTGGAGCTAACTGGAGTTATGTCACTGTGTGTGGCCGTGTGGTTCTAAATGAGCTTATGAGACTGCTAGAGAGTGGAAAGTGGTTTCAGAAAGGACTATATACTGCTTGCAGTGAGAATGTCATTAAGCTAAATGCAGAATTATTCTAGCTGAAGAACCGCAATTGAAGAAGTTTCTCATGCACAGAGAACAGACGCAGAAGAGCAGCAGTCATTTCAGAAAGTGATTACCAGGTAGCGAAAGCCATTTGAACATCAAGTGAATTTGATGGCCAAGATATAAGTATGAAGAAGAGGGTGGTCAGTTACTCAGTGTCACTACTCTAGGGATCATCTGTGTAGTAGCTGCTAGTTCTTGGGGCATAATGAGATGTTGCAGAGAGAATAATGTGGTAAGATGGTAGTTTAATGGGCTTCAGAACAAATTGGTCTAATTAAAAGGGGAAAAAAAAAGGTGATACTTTCACATCATAGAGCTTCACATGGGAATAACAAACATACACCAGACAATAGGCAGAGACACTAGACAACAAGTTAAATTAACAACACAGCTATTAATTAATTTCTATGCATCCCTTTTCCTTTGACAATGATTTTGACCTCAAAGCAAATCACAAATTATAAGTAATCGTAGGTTATTAAGGACATGAAAAACTCCTAGTGCACTCCCCACTTCCCTTATGACAAGATTTCTCCAGTTACGAAAATATAAAATTATAAAGTGACCTACCAAGGGCTGAGATCCATAGGCAGCCATCATTCCTCCATAGTAGAGATCAGGATAAGGAGTTGACGCGCAGGCCTGCATATAGCAGTATAGCATTACAAAAATAGTTGGTTGTATAATCATAACTGCACTAATCATCATTGGCAAGTCTAGCAGAGTCAACAAAAAATGACATGTATCACTTACAATTGAGTGACCAACAAGTTCTAGCTGTGGATGCTGTGAATAGTAATCTGCACTTCCGAGAGACATACCAGACTCACCATATTGTGATTTCTGAAGTTCGTGCCCACAGCTACCGTCTGAGGCAGGAAAAATAAACTGATCAGCATTGTGAAGAGAATCACATATTGGTTCCTTATTAAAGCAAAAAGGCAAATAGAGGATGAGATACTTCTTCCAATCATGGAGCACTACTTTATGAACATGCTAATATGTTGGCATAATGATACTCCCTCCGTCCCTAAAAATAAGCCACATATAATTGAGGGTACAGCTAAGGAATTGGATAGAATTATCATAATCATCCTTATTGAAAATTTTTGCATTATTACCACGCCATAGAGCCCATAAAGTATTCTTTTATTTAAGTTATCATCAGTTAAGACTAATATGGACAAGTTGTAAGCTTTGATCGACAAAATTTAAAAAGTGGACTATTATTAAAAGACAATCCAAAGTAGAAATGTGGCCTTAATATCTAGAGAGGGAGGGAGTAATATATGTAGAACAATACCTCGAGGGGTAGAAGTAGAACCTGTAGTTTCTGAGTCTTTGCTGGTCTCTTCTTCATCATCCCCCGCATTTGACAGTGACTGATCATCTTTAGATCCCGACATCTCAACTGGATGGTTTAGCAATGTTGGTTTAGGAACATTTCCAACTGCATCATCAGTAAAAGGCAATGGACCATATCCAGCCCCTCGCCACCACTGATCAGAACAAGCTGCTGATGGTGGAGTATTAGTGTGGGAACTAGGCTCGGGTTGGCTTGCCAAAATAGATTTTGATGGCATGCTTCAGTTACACACTTAAAAAGGCATCAATCTCAGATGTTCAACTTTGAACCTGCAATGTGTTTAACCTAGATCAGCCTAGAGATTCTGCAAAAATAGCATCACAGAACCAATCATGTGATTTTAAGATTGGAAAAATACAAGTCAAATCCTTAAGCTAAAAATTTTGAGCAAAAATCCTGTTTTCCAACTTTAAATTCTTCCAGTTACTGAAATAATCTACATAGTTATTCACTCCCTCTCAATCTTACGTGTGTATTTCTATGAATCTTAGGATCTAGGCCTATCACCTTTCCTCGTGTTAGCCTTACATACTACGAATTATATGCTTTTCTCTAATTATCATTTTTTTTATCACTTGTATTAACAATAGTCATCTCCTCTTAATATAGTTTTCCTGACACAACCTATCTACTAATCAAGAACAAGATCTCAAGCTCTCGGAGATATAAGAATATTAATTACCTAAAAGACTATATCCATTCCTATCACCTCTGGCATTGAATTCTCAAAACTAATGAGTTCACCGACTTCAAGTACTATGGAGAGGCTTAAACCAGCTTCACAATCTATAAGCTCACTTTGGGCTTGACATAGGAATCAGCCTAGTTCCAAACCTATTTGGAGCCATCAAATATTATAGATCTTCAAGTGACAAAAAACACATATCATCCCCTTCCAACACTTCAATTGAATTACACCATCTACCAAAAAACTAAATGCATGAAGCTGAAATACCCTTTTTCCTGGGCAGCTAAGTATGACGGGACGGTTCGTTATCTACTAGATCAAATGACACATATCTTAGCAATCGCCCGTCTTAACCCCTTTCCAATAGAAAATTGACAAAGATTTATGTCACCTTCGACACTATCTACATTGCGATAACTCGATCTCTGTATATGACTCGGAGACTTTCTTCAATCAATATCTATCTCTCAAGGTTGCTAAGTATTCAGGTTACTTAACATGCAGAGTGGCCCAGAATTTGGCAGCCTTCAACAATTTGCAGCTGAGATACCATAATTCACTCATAATGTCAAGCAAAATAAATGCAACATTTATCAAACTAAGACCTTTTAAAATTAAATCATAATTTCAATATTCAATCCAAAACAATTTAAACAAAATCTCCAATTGACAAACTAAAACCCACCAAAATTCCCCAAATTATCACAATCCAATCCCCAAGCTCAATCAACGATGAAAATCAAACAAACAGAATCAAAAACAATTAATACAGAATCCTCAGAACAATTAAAACTTATAGATATCGACATGCAGAAACCCTAACAACTCAAAATAAAATTACCCAACAAAACTTCGAAAAAACCCAAAATTCACATCAAATTATAAACACAAACACCAATTAAAACCTTAAAAAAGACGCTCACAACTCAACAAATTCAAATCAGACCAATCGGAATAGAAAAAAGATACTTACTTGGAAGAAAAATTCTCGCTTGGTGAAACGAAAGGGAATTAACAATAAGAACCCTAAAATTTTGAGAATTTCGAAAAATTGGGGGAAACTTTCAATTGAATATATCAAAATTAATTTGAAATTCCACCCAAAAATCAAATTGTAAAAATTTAATTTTGGGTACTTTTTGTTTTTTAATTTTCTCTCTCTAAATTATAATTTTTTTTCTCCTCCAATCTTGTGAAGAAGGAAGTCGTAGCAAAGTCTTTTCGTTGGGTAGTTTTTTTTGTTTTTTGTTTTTTGTTTTTTGAAAAAAAATTAAAAAAAAATTGAGAGGAGGAAAATAAACGGGACGACAGCGCAACAGAAGAAGAATGGTATAAGGACGACACGTTGAAGTGTTCCAGTGCTCTCGTGTTCCTTCACTATACCTCTTCACTCTTACTACTCCCCCCTTTAGCCGCCACTAGTTTTCTCTCTTTTTATTAGAAAAAAAATAAAAAAATTCTTACATTTGTCAATTTTGAAATTTTGGGATATTATAAATTTACTACAGTAGAACATAGTAAGGGCTTAAGGGGTGAGCAAATCGAGTACCCGGTTAAAATTTTAGGATCCGAACTCAAATTAGTTGAGACCGGTCCTAAAATTCGGAATTGGAATTGAAATGGTACCATTGGGTTTAAAAATTGAGGAATTGGAATTGGTTCCACCGGGTACCGGTTTCGGTTCTGGGTACCCACTTATATACATACTTGCTAATATAAAATACAAATTATAATTTATTTTTTTTGGTTTATTTTCATTTTTAGCGTTTTATACTTATATTTTTATATGCATTAACCTATTTTATTTATGTTAGATAGTAATATTATTTATTTTTATTTTACTAATTAGATACATTCAACATATTTTTGTTTTTTAAATATATTTAGTTCAATATATGTTGGGTAACCGGTTACCCAACTGGTTCCGGTTCCAAAAAATCGAGAATTGGAATTGAAACCGGTTACAACCGGGTCCTTAATTTATTACCGGGTCCAATTCCGATTCCAGACCCGCCGGTTTCGGTTCCAATTCCGGGTATCTGAAATTTTTGTTCACCCCTAACTAAGGATGTCAATGGGTCGAATTCGGATCGGATTATGTAAAATCTAACTCCGAACCTACAAGATGTCGGATTTTTAATCTTCCTCCGCCTCCCACTCCGACATCCAACTCCGATCCGAATTGAATTTCCAGCATCCGACTCCGACCCAATTCGACTCCGACTCCGACTTTAAATTTAATTTTGACCCTATTGTCAATAACAACCCATATGTAATCAACTTCAAAGACCTATAAATTCATGAAGTGAATAATAAAATATATATAAGTACATAGAAAAGTCGAAGTCGGATCGGATAAGTCGGATTCTAAGTAGACTCCAACTCCGACCCTCCTCCGACTCGGAGTCGGATTTTTTAAACAAAGTCGAATTTGGATTATTATTTCTCGGATTCGGTTCGGATTTTTTTCTTTGGATCGGATCGGACTAGGGGCATATTCAAACTAGATTGTCATCCCCACCCCTAACATACCCATGTTAATGCTAGACCTGGTATTAGAGTATTGGGTGGATTGGGTTATGGTCGGTGTACATGATCACGTCATTAACTGAAGGGTCAAAAGAGAGTCATATTTTACTAGGTCAAAGTGGGTCGAGTCAATGGGATCTTTTAAAATGTGTGTGTGTTAATGCTAGACTTGGTATTGGGATATTGGTTGGATTTAGTTATGATAAGTGTATGTCATTAACTAAAGGGTAAGATTAAAAAAGGATCATATTTTATTGGGTCAAAATGGGTCGGATTGATGCGGGTAGTCTAGCTATAACAGGTTGATAATGGGCGGCTAATAAAGGAGCAGATAAAATTGAAAACAGAGATAGATAGATAAAACTGAGTACTTGTAAATACTAAATTATGCATGCAGTAATTATTTTTTTTTAGTGCGGGACTATTTTCCAGGCTACATTTTGGCTCTATCTAATACAAACCCCTTTTACCTCGACCCAAACTCTATAGTCTATACCAATTGCGTTACCATGTCCTAACTAGGCCTAGTTAATGTAAGAGGTTTGTTCGCTAAATTTGAGTATTTGAGTTTTGGAGAATTGTAGTATACAAATAAATTGAAAACAAGTTTAAGTTTTGTGTTTAACATGCTCCCAGAGTCTAAAGGCATTAGACTAATATTAGAACAATATTGACGTATATTTCAATGATTAAAACTTAAAACTCGAAATACATAATCTGATTGTCTTTATAGGTGGCAAGTGATAATATTTCATTAATTAGTAGGAGTATTCCGATAATTTTAACAACAATTCATTTATTTTATCGTGAGATTCCACTAATTTTGACCAAAATTAGCGTTAAAACGTAAAAATAGCAATACAAATATAAAATTTTCATGACAATAGTGATAACTCCACGAAATCAATGTATTGTATATTTGTATTACTCATGTCCCCAAAGTAACACTATCAAGTAAATCGATTTGTGTAGTTGTGTACTTATGTTTAGCATTCAACTTTACGAAAAAGACTTGTTCTCTTCAATTTATTTTAAATACTTATTACTTATTCCTTAATAAATTCATATTAGATCAGATTCGAATTTTTATTTATCATTTACTTATTGTTAAATATCGTTAATTGCGTATTAAAAAAACTATGAAAATTACATATTCGAAAAATTCATAATGAGACAAATCTAACAAGATCTATTTTGATAATATTTTTCTTTATAGATTAGTGTTAAAATGCGGTCAAAATTTAGTCAAATTATTAAATCAGATCAGACTATACCAGATTATAAAAATTAGATCAGACCAGATCTCCTTGTTTCAGGTGAAGAGAATAAGTCCAAAATGTTGTAGTTGAATATAGATACAATAAGAAAAATGGTCATATTCAGCTATTTGAAATTAGTGGATTGATGAACTATATTGACTCAATCCACTGCTAAAGATCAAAATTATTTGTTTAGAAATGACAACAGTTCTCATCAATTGACCAAAAATATAAAAATGGATATAAAATCCATGAACTAGTACCAGTAGTATATACATTTACTCAAACCTCAAAACCTAACCTCAGGAATATTTGCATAGGCTTCTAGAGTTCTAGGAAAATGTGTTGCTATGTAAGAGTAAGAGCAGCTTTTGGGAGTCCAAGAAGATACCAAGTCCAAAATTTAAGGCCCATTTACCAATACACATTGTCTGCAAGCATAGGACTTGATATGCTCGTTCACTTGGGATAATGCTATGAAGAAGTTTTATGTACAATAGTCAATCTAAGACATTCAAATCTTTGTTAATCTTCGGTTGATCATTTCTTTATGAAGTGATATGTTGAAGGGTTCAAACAAGGTGGAGCCGTGAAAAACAATACTTGTAATAAGTAATACGTGATAATAAAAACTGATATACGTAAGAAATTATAAAATTATGGGTAAAATGGTTTTGATTCTTAAATTCGATCTTTACAACGACATAGTATCGAGGGTTTGAATCCCTCTCTAGTAGTCTAGTCTCAAACTCAATTAATTTACTTTGTTGATCTAAAATACGAAGTGATGGAAGGTGTGCTTAGTTATTAACTCTTTTAAATAAGTAAAGTTTGGCTTTGTGAGATATCCATGCTAGAAACTAGAAAAGAAGATTATATGAGTTGAAAATTCAAAGAGAAAGAGATTTTTCATTTATATATACACATATTATATCACATGATCTCATTAAATGCAACAAGTATAATGGCATCTAATTGTTACTCCGTATTTTTTTAGACAAAGAAAAAAAAAAAAAAAACTTCTTAACTTAAAATAAAAATATATATATAAAATAAATAAATCATAAAAGCTAGATAGATGGATTATATTACATGTCAAATTTGTATTGTGTAATGTTGTTATTTCCTTAATTTCAAAATAAAATTAAAAAATCTCCTATTTGACCGGCATATTAGCTAATTCGAAACGTTGATATCAATATGAATGAATTATAAACCGCTGATATATATTTAGAAACCACACATTAAGACGATTATGATCTACATGACTATACACTCCATATATTTAATATTATTTATAAGCGCTAATAAAGGTCAAATAAAGTACGGAGTAGTAGTGTTTGTAAATAGTACGGAGTATAAAACTTTAAATTGAAACAATTATTTTGAAACAACTAATAATTTTTTCCCCGAGTGAGTATATGAGATTAACTTTTGCCAACCCTAGTAAGAACAAACAAATACCCCAAAAGAAAAAACACATGGAAGGAGGGAAAACTGAAGAAGTGCTGCCCAAACTTTAATTACTACAGTAGTTAAGCTAGTAATGGGGTTTTGACTCAAAAGCCAAAGTATTACTAGAAGGAGCAAAGAGAACCTCGGATTCTAGAAAAGCTTTGATGAGTTTCCTGTGACACATACTTCATTTAATTTAATTTAATTAACTCAAATTTATTTTAAAGAAAAAGAAGCATTTGCTTTGATATATATATATATATATATATATATATATATATATATATATATATATATATATATATATTCACGTACATTATATCATTGGAATTATAAAAGGAATTCATCAACTTTAGCAAAAAGACACCAATCCAAATGCAATATATTTTTTAATTGATTCCTTCCTATGAATTTTTTTTGTCAACCCTCATTCCGAGAAGCCACTTACATTTTTTTTAACTTAATTTATGTTTATTTGTGACAATCAAGTGTACTTTTACACGAATTAACAGTAATTAATCTGTATGTAATTACTTCACGTAAACTTCCTTGATTTGATTATGAAAAAAAGGATTCCCTACTTTTATAGTTTTATATATGTTTTGTATCCTTATCTAATTGATAATAGTTATAAGTCTTGGTTTACATACCATGCACACTCAAGTTTTATACAGTATAGACTAAGAATTTGCAACTAATACCTTATATCACTTAAATTAGTATCTAGCTAGCATTAACAAGTATTTGTGCATAACAATAGTTCGTTAATCGTCAAAACCCTACAAACGTTCATTTGTGTTCGAATCATTTCATATTGAAGAAGATATAAATTAAATACAATACTGATTGAGTCTAATCTATAGCAGATAGTAGAGGAGAGTTATTCCGCCTTTGCTGATAAGTTTTGGGGAACATAATTTGTTTGTAACGGGACCAATCGTGCCCCCCTTCTTCTTGGGTTGTTTACCTGCACCAATTCATGTCCCCTCCCCCCTCCCCCCTCCCCCCTTTTTTTTAATACCTCCATATTTAACGAAAAAAATATGAAACTCAGTCTCTGGAACATTTCGGTGTCGCAAATAATTTGCTAATGGTAAGCATAAAATCCTAATTAGTACTAATTATATATGTTGTAATGGATAAATTAAGACTTATGGTGGTTTTCCTCACAGTTGCTAGTGAAAGTGATCAATATACATATTTAAAGAATCAAAGTGAAACTTTAGCTAATCTTTTGAACTCTTAATATCGAGGACTGAAACATATAAGGCCAACATTAGTTCTTGTAAATTAATTATCTTTGATAGGTCACATATATATTATCGGCCCTAACTTTGAGAATGATTGTGATCTTGGCCTTGGTAATTTGATTTCAAAAGGAAAACAAAAGCAAAAGATGAACTACAAAGATATGTCATTTCCGTACAATAATAAAACATTTTAGTCTCATTTATGCACTCTTTATTAGTAGACATAAATGTAATTAAAAGCATGAGAGAACCCCATTACATAGTTTTAAAAAGGAAATCTTTTCTAGTAGAGGACATCAAAGATATAAACCTAAGAAAAGAAATTATAATTGTCTCACATATCATAAAAGGATTGAAGCTCCTTAATCAAGGCTTATTTGGCCAGGTTTATTGGATAGTTATCTATGATTAAGGGCTTGTTTTATTTTAACTTATTCAATTCCCACTTCTATTATAGTAGACAAACTAAGCTAATAAGATAAGTCTAGACCAAAGGAGTTATACTCCGTGTATAGATAAAAAGTAGAATAATAAATTAAGTTGCGTTGAATTGAATTGAATTAAATTGATGTAGAATAATACTAAGCCGAGCTTAACTATAATTTGAAAATTAGTCCAAAAGTGCAGGGCCTTGTATATCGACTTTATAGAATAATATTAAGCCGAGCTTCACTTGATGTCTACAAACCCTCGTTACAAATAACCTAAACTAAAGCCATACTTGTATATCAACATATTGTATCATACAATCACAAGAGGAATTCTAAAGGGATATTGTTATGTATATATGTATGTGTTGGTACATAACAAGGGTATAATGGTAAGTTAGTATAACAATAAAAGGTGATGAGACCACATTTAATCACTTTAATTCTCAAATTTTAGTATACCACTGTAGTCATTTAATTAAGTACCTTTACAACCATTTATAATACATTACACTACTAATATCACGATTTCACAACCGAATAATACATATGTTAGCTTCAAAAGTATACCATTATAACAATCTTTAGAATCATTATAATTATTTATAGACTATAATATTATTCTACTATCAATGATACATTTCACGATGCAGTGATACCAGTACAACTTTTAAAATATTTACGAATTTGCCTTGTTACGAATATGTAACAACAAATACATAACTATATTACATTACTACTTCCTCTCACACGATTTGACAAACAAAAGAAGAAATACTAGTACTCTATATTTACATTAGTACCAGAATTGGCAGGCAACTGCCTAGTTAAAAGGAATCTAAGGCAAGGAAACTCATGTCATAATCAAAAAGTTATTCACTTGATCAGTGAACATTGCCTCCCCTTAAAAACACAAGTTAATTTTCTGAACATATGCAAAGAGTGGAACTCCAAATTTATTGCCAGTTAATGTCACTCTGCTGCTTACCCTGCATACAATCAGGAAATTCACCCCCTTATCTTCAACACATAATACTTCCTCCATTATTTTAATATTGCACCACTTGCTTTTAAAGAAAGTTTCACTAATATTGCACCATTTCTATTTTAGGACAAAAATTATCTCTGTTAACACTGTAAATACCCAACATACCCTTACTTTTTCACACTTATTATTTAGTCTATGTTACATCACGTGGACACTTTTGTATTTTTACCTTTATTATCTCTCTTCTTTTTTCCTTCTACCAAATTTATTGTGCCCAACTTGTATGGTGCAATAATAAAAAAACGGAGGAAGTATAGAATAATATAAAAACATATTTATGTATAAATATAAATAATAATTAAAACGTAAAAAGTAAATCACAATTTTTTGTATGTGGCTGGCCACACTGTGTGGCTAGTCATCACGGAGGTTACTTTGTTAGTGTATATGAATTACTCAATTAATATTATATGGGTTACTTAGTGTTACATGGGTTACTTCGTTAGTGATATAGGGATTACTCGATCAGTGTTATAAGAATTATTTTATTCTTTAACAAACGATCACATTATGTGGTCAGTCACATATAAGACATTGAAAATAAATAAAAATAAAATTGGTTGATTTGAGCGGAAAAAAGGAGGGTATTTCTTGAGATTCCCTACTAACAAGGACAATGATCACAACCCGCACGAGCCACTCTCTTCTTTGGATTCCCTTCTAATTGATGGCTATCTCTGACTCAGACACCACCCTACTTAATTATTATAATATCAAACCATATTATATAATTGTGATACATATAAAAACTTTATATTATCACATTATCTTTATGTATTATGTATTGTACTATATCTAATTATGGAGTGGAGTAGTTCATAATATCAAGACCAATTATTCATGTCTATTATGTTTATGTCCCACGCGTTAATTAAAGTATAATGGAATTATTCTAATTTTTTCCCCTTTTCCTTCCCCCAACTACCCCCATGGAAATAAAAATAGGGAAAGATTGTATATTATATATTTATATGCCGGTTATATGGAATACATGATCTTTACAAATCATGTTGTTTTATTTTGATAATTTGAAATATCTTACTTATATGATCATTTCTTTACGGATTAATAATACGCGCAATATATACCTAATTTAATATTCCCTCGTCGAGGTATGGATCAACTTGATACCTACACATGTTAACTAAACTATTGTTCTCTCAACTGCATATGATGATTTAATGCAAATCTGACGGTCACAATCAAATCTAAACTTAACTTTTTTAATTGTTGATTAATCAACCATGAAAGAATTGGTTGGTTCATTAGTTGAGTCATTACTCTTTCTTGTGGACCATATTTAAACCTTCCATATAGATAAAAAAAAATAAAAAAATGCAATCAACTCGTGTGGGGATCGACTTAAAGCTGTGAAATGAAATTGATACGTATGTGCTGATGAATTGAGCACACAAAAGTGGAATTTCTTGACTTGGTTACTTTTTGTGGAATGTGGAAGCCTTTTTTATTATTGATCAAAAAAGACAATAGAATTAACATAGAATATAAAATATTGAAACATTCATGATAGAATTTAATTCAATTTATATATTGCAAAATTGCATGGTAGACCAATTTACATTCATAATTTTGCCAATTTATCATCATTTCCTTTGTATTTGAACTTGACTAATCATTTCAAAATAATAATTATTGGATTCTTATTTTAACATCATATTTTCGACATAACAGTAAAATTTCATTTTAAAATAAGTTCAGCAGATTTTTACACAACCGAAATGATTAGTTGATTACTACTCAAATAAACAGACCATAGAACGCTTAATTTGTTACCAAAAAACAGCCTAATTACGAGTCATACATAGAGATAAAAGTGGTAATTAAGGGATAATTACGACCATTAATAGGTGTAATTTGTGGTACTAGTATCTTTTTAATGAATTGGCATCATTTGGTACCAAAGTTAGCTTTATTATTGCCCAATATATTCAAAAATAATATTCCACCAACCAAATTGGACTGCTATATCAAAGTAAAGCAGGAAAATAAAAAAGGAAATACATAATAAGATTTTAATTAATTAGAAGCATACATATTTAATAACGCGTATGGGCGGCACAAAGAAAATTCAAAAGCATTTTGCTTTCTTTGATTTGACCACATTATATAGAAATTAACTGAAAAAAATATACAATTTCACACCATAAAAATTAAAAATTTATACAGTAAGATAAGATTCCTTCTTTTTCATCACCAGGAAATAATTCTACTAAAAACCAAAATATGATTACCAAACAAACCTCATGCTTGATTTATCATTTGGTCAGTGAGATTGTGACCTCTTTCACCATTAACTTATATTTCCAAAAAAAAAAAAAAAAAAAAAAAACCAACTATAAAATGTTAATAAAAACTTCCCAACATTTTTTTTAATAAAAAAAACCCTTTACCTAAAAGGGTTTTACTAAAAACCTCATTCACACTATTGATCTTAAAAAAAAAAAACCTAATAACTAATTAAAAATAAAACACGGTAAATATGCTATTAGTTATAATTTGAAATTTTTTTGATTTTGAAAAAAAAGGGGGAAAATTCAAACCTTGATATCTCTGATAGGAGTAGCAAACATGAAGAATTTGTCTAAATCAGGATGAGCAAAAAAAGTGATTGGCCTCCTTTTTTGAAACAAACAAGTACTATTTCTTGGCTTCTTTGGTGCTGGTGGACAAGTTGTTATCTCTGGTATCTTATACTTCTCTGATTTTGGTGTTGTGCACAAATCACCACCACCATTCGATGAGCTATTATTATTACTTTTGTTGTTGATTCTTTGATGTTCATCTTCTTCGTTGTCGAAACACGAAAGCGATTCGACACGATTATTTTCCTTTGATTTCTTGGGTGGTTTTTGGCTATGTAGCAATGATAGTTGCTCCTTCTTGTATATGCTCCTTGTGATAATCTTCCTTGTTGTTGGTGTTGATTTTTGGGTTCTTCTTCTACTTGTTGTTGGTGCCATTATTTCTGAATGGGTTTTTTTTTTTAGTTTTTGGGAGAAACTGAAACATATACGAATTACATAAATAAGAAAGTAAAAGAAGAAATTAAAATGATTTTTAATAGATATGACATTTTCTTGAAAGATGAGAAATATGACTAGTTCTTTAGGGGACATACCTTTTGTTGTAAACTAAAATTCGTTTATTTTCTCAGAAAATTCTTGATGATGAAGACTTAACATCACCTGTAGAAGCAAAGCTACACTAAAGAAGGGTTTTATGATCAGGACTTTTGTAAGGAGGAGAGAGAAAGAGGAGGCAATAGGAGAGAAAAAAGAGGAGGTGTGAAGAGAGAATTTAGGTTTATACTAGAGTACTAATTTGTCCCTATATTTATCTTTTTATATTTTATTTTTTTTTTTGAGAAAATCTTTTTATATTTATATACAAGTTTTTTTTTTGGGTAATTATCAAATTGGATTTAACCACTTGTACTTTATAATTTTTATAAACCTTGTATTTACTTGTTTAGAGATATTTTTGTCAATATAACTCGATAAATTTATGTGAAATTGTTTCATTGTGAATTTACGGAGTATTATCTATTCAATTGCGATGTTTATTGCAGAGTATTTTTTATCCAAGCTAATTTATTTATTTTTCGGTAGTTATTTTAAGAATAGCTTCTAAAAAGTGGTAAACTAATCCCACCTCAAAGTAGAATTACCTAATTAGTTCATTAATTATTAAGGACATTGCTTAGCTAACTGAATAAAATATGTAGTCCATATAAAGAAATGTTTACCTAATTAGTGGCAGTATTATCGACATTCTGTCACCACAGTCGCTAATCTTCCAGCAATGCCTTTCATTACTGTTTGTATCAACGAAATTAATTGGCAACATTTAAATCTACCTATTACAATTACTTTACCAAAATTACCTTTAATTTTTTGTTAATGAACAATTTTAATAACTAGTAATTTCTAATTATTTATTTTATTTTATTATACAAAGGTTAACATTTTGGAATTATACATCATGTTAACTAAGATGTGTTGAGTGGAAAAGAAAATACATTATACTTCGTATTTTTTTAGGAAAATTTGTCAAAAAAAACCTTTTAAATGGCTCATTCTGCAAGAAAAACCTTTTAAATGATTCTTTGTTTAAAAAAACCACCACGATCACTTTTTTTGTTTGATGAAACCTGGGCTCTCTTTTCCGGCATTAACTCCCAATTTCAGGCGTTGACCCATGAGTTTTCCTACTTGCAGCCTACAGTTGGATAAATTTCCCTCCTTTTTTGTTAGGCTCCCTAATTTTCCTTCTATAAATATTCTAGGGCAAGCCTCCCCAAATCACTCCAACAAAAATTAAGGCAAATCTCCACCCAAATCAAAGCAATTGAAAGGTAAATTAGGGTTCTTCATTTATTTCTTCAACAAATGTAGTGATGAATTCACCATTGTAGCGCTCCATCGTTCTTTTCTTCTCTAATTCTTCGGTTGTGTGTTTTTTGCTCTTCACTAATTCCTCTGTTGTTGCTGGTAAATTTGAAGGTAAAATGGTGAATTGTGCATGTGGCTTTCCTTGTACGAAACGACATTCCTGGACTCATGAAAATCCGGGAAGAAGGTTCGAGGCTTGCAAAAAGTACAACCACGACACTGGAGAACGAGGTTGCAACACGTTCAAATGGCTGGATGAGGAGCAGACGGAGTGGCAGCGTGAAATGATTAATGTTCTACTAGCTGAGAGGCATAGGTTGGAAACCAAGTTGACTATTGTCAAGGCTAGGCTTGCTTGCCTAGAAGATCATAACAATCTTCAAAGGGGAATGCAAAGAGGCTTTGTACCAGAAATGGAAAAGGGGGGTTTAAGCAAGTTGGCATATGTGTTGTTGTTTCTGTGATTGTTAGTGTGGTGTTGATGAAAATGTTTAGTTAGGTAGAATGCTAAGGTTGTGGGATGTTTTGGTAATTAGATTGCTTCCGGTAGTAGATTGCTTAGATTGGTAAGTATGTAGGGGTTTAAGCTAAGTATGTGGGGGGTTTTTGCTAAGTAGAATGTGCTAAATAATTTGTGTATTTTGGACCCTTGTAAATGAAATAAAAATGCAATCTAATTTGGTATCTACTCTTTTTGTGCCATCTTGTTTACTCACTGCATATTTTGATTTCTAAATACTGTCACAAATGTTGAAGCAACAATAACATGCACACAATGTAAGAGAAATTGAAACAATGAAATTGGTTAAAACATACATACCATAACATAAGTTGGTATAAAAAACAAGTAAACCCATTGTTTTTCAAAAGATTAGTTGTCAGAAGCAACTTTAAATACATACAATATAATATATATATATATATATATATATATATATATATATATATATATATATATATCCTTACATTAAAGTTTGATTAACTTGTTCAAAATAAACATCACATATTTCCTGGCATCATTCAATGAGCATGCAGGGTTCCATGTTGGGGTGCAGACAGCGAGATGGAGTGTTGTGAAGCTTGGGTTGATTGACTCAGTTGTTGTGATAAGGTAGCTCCTGCTGCTTGGCCTGTTGCTGCTTGCCCTGCTGCTGCAACTTTCTTTGGTCTTCCAGGTTGCCTCTTTGGCTTATTAATAGGTGGGCTTGGACACTTATTTTTGTAATGCCCCAACCCACCACAATTAGAGCATTTGTTTTGCACCTTTTCCCTCTTGACATTCTTCCTCTCTTTATCTTCTCCAGCTTCGTTCTTTCTCTTCTTACTTGAAGGCTTGCCAGGTAAGATTTTGTGTACATGAGGTAATGGCCTGGGATAAGGAGTGACTTCCCACTGCTGATGAACTGACATTGCTTTAAAAGTTGGAGCATATGCCTTGGTGTAGGTCTCCACATGATAAGCTGGGTGGATGAAGTTCTCAATGTCAAGCCTTCTCAATTGAATACAAGCAAGTGTATGCCAACAAGGAAATCCCATAAGTGTCCATCTGTTGCAGCTACAAGCTTTGGTTTCCAGATTGACAACATAAGTGTCTTCCGAGTCATCAACTTCAAACCCCATTAAATCAGCTTGACTTACTCTCATGCTGGACACTTGTTGTAGACCTTTATGCACCATTTTCAAAACAGTTGGCATGATCACACCAGTGAAAGATTTAAGCCCTTCCTTTTTTGCATAAAACCTTCCCATTACATATCTTCTTACCCACTCCATCAACTGTTGAATAGGCTTGGTTCTAGCTTCTTTGAGAACATTGTTGAAGCTCTCACAACAATTGTTCAAAAGCATACTTGACTTGGAGGAGGAGCTGAATTTATGTCTTGACTAATGAACAGGTGGAATGGCTTGTAAGTAGTTAAAGGCATCTACACTCAACTTTTTGATCTCTTACATATGCTCCTTGAAGTGATGCTATGGCCATACATAACCAAAAGTACACATAAGTCAAAGACATGTCAAATATGTTGCATATATAAGCAAACAAATGTGCTCTTTCCAAAAGTCAAAGACATGTCAAATATGTTGTACCTCTGTGGTTGACCTTGCAGCTTTCCAAAAGTGCTCTTTGTAGACAATCCCAGGGAATTCAAATTTGTTCTTGAAGTCGCTCCAAATGTGCTTGTAGCAGCACCTAGTGTCTGCATCAGGCATAATTGTAGCAAACGCATCCAATAAGCCCTGTGTCATATGTTCAGAGTAAGCAATAAGCATACAATAGGTGAGTTTGGTTTGACAAATGAACTAAGTTGTAAGCAATACAAATACCTTTTGCCTGTCACTCATGTAAGTGAGTTCATCAAATTCATGAACCCAAGTGATAGAGTCTGCAACTGTTGCTATGTCCTTCCTTAGAAACTCCAAAAACCATGTCCAAGTTTCCCCATTTTCTACTTCTACAACTGCCCTTGCTATTGGGAAGATGTTGGTGTTGCCATCTTTCCCCACAGCTGTTAGTAGAATACCTGGATAAGCCCCTTCAAGTGAGCACCATCCAATCCCAAGATTGGTCTACATCCTGCAATGAATCCCTGCTTGCAGGCTTGCAAGCACACATATAACCCCTGGAAAACAGGTTAGGGGTTAAGCACTCCATCTACCTTCACAACAACTGTACTTCCCGGGTTATACTTCAAAATGGTAGTTGTATAATCCCAAACCTTCTTATATTCCAAAGCTGCATCCCCAAAAATCATCTTAAATGCCCTCTTCCTAGCATACCATGCTAAGTAGTAGCCTATTTTTACTCTACGCTCTCTTCTTGCCCTTTTAATGATTGCACCTAGCTTCCATGTAGGGATATCCTTCCAGTAGGGGTGGGACTTTTCAAACCGAACCGTGAAACCGCCCGTTATTGAACCGAACCATCACGGACCGATCCGTTTATAAACCGAAAACCGAACTGAACCGTTCAATATCAAACCGAAACCGAATTGAACCGCTCAATGTCATTCCGTTACGGACCGTAAACCGATAACAAACCAAACTGCGCAAATCCAAACCGAAACGAAACCGAACCGAATGGTTTATAAACCCGTTAATGACCCGAACCGTTTATAAACCGAAACCGTTTAAACCGAAAAAAACCGTTTAAACCGAACCATTTGTAACCCGCTAACCGTTTAAACCGACCCGTTTATGAACCGAAACCGTTTAAATCGCACGTATAAACCGAACCATTATAATCCGCTAACCGTTTAAACTGAACTGCCATAACCCGTTAAACCATTAAAATCGAACTGTTTTCGAATCGCAACCTGTTTAAACTGATCCGATTACAAACTGCTTAACTCAAATTGAATTATTTACAACCTAAATGGCTAAATAGTAAATACAATTAATGTTAATAAATATAGATCTAATCAAACGGCTTAGGTTTATACAAAGGTTTATATCACCTAGATCTAGGCCAACGACATTATTAATATCGTTTTAGATTACTTATTTATTTTAATTACAAGATATATCATTTGTATCATTTTCATTCCAGTAATAATGCTAGTCCACCCAAATTATCTTCATTGTTCCTTGATATTCATGATCATCCAATAACACTCAAAGCCTCAAAGGTGACATAAGATTGGAGATGTATGAGATTGCGTTACACAAGTGGCATAAGCATTAGAATATTACTGTACTAGTCAATAAGGCGTACAATCATTCACATTATCACTTTGTAAAACTTTCTTATACAAGTATTTTGTAAAGGGGAGGACTAAAATGTTTATAAAACACATTTTTTTAGCTTTTCTTATATTAAACCAGATATTAAGTAAAAGAATTTTAATAAATACGGAGGCATCCCAAATCTGTAGCCACAATTATTTCATAACATTACCACAAATCCAGCAGATAAATAGCATTGAAATTAGAGTAATATCAACAAGCAATTAAAAAAAGTCACCATTTTCATTGATTAAAATTCACAATACATATACCAATACATAATGAAACTACTATCACTACTACCCAGATTAGATTTCAGATTTATCAACTGAAACATCATCAAGTTTAGGGTTGCAAAAAATGATACATTATAAGATGAAGGGAGGAGTGAGAATGTGAGTGATTTGGGAGCAGAATCTTGAAGCAGCAGCACAGCACCCAAGAGCAGAGGAAATAGCAGCAACAAGCAGGAACCAGCACACGGAATAATAGATCAGCAACTTATCAGAAGCAAGGAATAATATAAGCAGAAGGGACTCAACAAGAACTTATTTTTGTTTTTCAAAATTGCTCTCAGATTTACGTTTATTGTATCATCACTGAGCAATGGCTGTTTTAACTTAAAACTTGAAAAATGCTGCCAGCAAGTACATATACATTGAAGTCTCAACATAAATGACAAGGGCAACGATGATTCAAGAAAAATTAAAACAGCAAGCATAAGAAACAGCAGCAACAAAACTTATCATAAATTCATAACACAAAAGGCAGCAACACAGCACCTCAAGCTGGCAGGAGGCAGGAACCAGCTCATGCAGGCAACAATATAGGCAATAACAACTCAGCAGAGACAACAACCAAAAGGCAAAAGCACTACCAGCAGGCAGCAGCTCATAACAAGTTCAAGCAACTTCAAAATTATAGCTTTTGTTTTTTTAAAATTGCTCTCAGATTTACATCACTGAGCAATGGTTGTTTTAACAAAAACTTAAGAAATGCTGCCAGCAAGTACCAAAATACATTTAACTATTTAAGTCTCAACATAAATGACAAGGGCAACGATTTTAAAAGTCTTGAAAAATGCTGCCAGCAAGTCTGAAAATAAATGACAAGGGCAACGATTTTAAAAGTCTTGAAAAATGCTGCCAACAAGTCTGAAAATAAATGACAAGGGAAACGATTTTTCAAGATAAAATAAACCACAATGAGACACAAATACCAGTTATGCAGATGAAGCACTTTCGGCTTCAATCTCTTTACCAATAAGGAGGACGTCTTCCTCAACATTCGCTTGATAACCACAGCACCAATTTTGGGTGGTAACCAATGCCTCAACATTCTTTGGCAAAAGTTTACCCCTATATCCTCAAAAAGAAAAAAGCATACATAAGAAAAGCTTAAACTTTTTCAAAAGTTTCCAATGAAATTATGAACCTATAAATAAACATGAGATGTTTATTTTACTAGCCCTAAACTAGCATTTATTTTATGCACATAACTGCAGAAAGACACAATTTGGTCTTTTGTTAGGTAAAAAAGCCAATAACCACATAATCTGAACAACCCATCATCATTACTTTTAAATCGAGCATAATAAACAACAAAACAGCACAAATCTACCATTTTCCCGTAAAAAACAAAAATACAATCAACAACAGATTTTAGGCATATTTCGACTATATTCAAGCAAGAACAACAACAATAATCAAATACAAAAACAGAAAAACTGTATTAAAAAAAACGAAAAGGAAAAAGTAATTACCTTTGACGGCTTGAAGGAGATTTGAAGATGGAGAACTGCCTGAACTGGAGATCAAAAGAAAAAATCAAGAATGTAGATTATCAGAACTTGAAATAAAAAAAAAAAAACCGAAACGAAAACGAAAAAAATCGAAAAAATTAACAAAAAAATTACCTTGAGGTTTGACGGCTTGAAGGAGAGGAAGATTTGAAAAAAAAAAAAAAACGAGAATGGAAAAGTTAGAAATCAGAACTTTGGATCCAAAACAAAAATGAAACGAAAACAAAAACCCTAAATAAAAAAAGTAAAAAACCGAAACGAAAACGAAAAAAATCAAAACGAAAACAACAAAAATTAACAAATAATTACCTTGAGGTTTGACGGCTTGAAGGAGAGGAAGATTTGGAAAAAAAAACGAGAATGGAAAAGTCAGAAATCAGAACTTAGATCCAAAACAAAAATGAAACGAAAACAAAAACCCTAAATAAACAAACCGAAACAAAAACGAAAAAAATCAAAACGAAAACAACAAAAATTAACAAAAAATTACCTTGAGTTTTGAACTTTTGACGGCTTGAAGCCTTCAAATTGAAGGAGAGGAAGATTTGAAAAAACAAAAAAACGAGAATGTAAAGCGAGAAATCAGAAATGTAGATCCAAAACACAAATGAAACGAAAACAAAAACCCTAATTAGGATTTTTAAAAGTTGAGAAGTTGAGCTTGAGATTCTTGAGAATTTCAGAACGAAAGAATGAGAAACTGAGAAGTTAGAGAGAGAAACTATGAGTGAGTAAAACGGCTGAATGGCTGATAGAGTGGGTTTTTTTTTCTAGGTTTAGGTTTTACTTGTTCAGTTGATCTAACCGTCCATATTCAATCTCAACATCTAACCGTTCATTTTTTTTTTTGTAGATTCCAGAATATTCATCTAGATCTAACGGTCTAGATTTTTCTTTGTGCTTTTCTAGGTCTTTTTGACCGTTTTTTTTAATTATTTATTATTATTATTATTTTGAGGGATTATTATTATTATTATTATTATTGTTAGTATAATTATTTGTTAATATTATTATTATTACTAGTTTACTACTACTATTATTATAATATTATTATAATTATTATTATTATTACTATTATTATTATTATTATTATTTATTATTATTATTATTATTATTATTATTATTATTATTATTATTATTACTATTATTATTATTATTAGTTTATTACTTATAAGTTATAAATTGTAAGAAACGCAAATGTTTCAAAATTGAAATTGATTCAATACGACATAGTTAATGACTTAATGAGTTAATGCACATCAATATCTGACATCTCTATATGTATATTATATATATCTGTGAGTCTGTGACTGTATATCAGTATATATATAATAAACTAATAATAACTTAATAAGTAATACTAATAACTAATAAAGTAATGAAAATCTAACCATTGTTTTTCATGGGCATTCAATCTAACCGTTGTATATTTGACTATTCGTACATTAGTATTGCATAATGATTTCATCACCACTTTAATTAGTGATTTCGTGATTTCGTCCATTTAACTTATTAAGTTGTTTGAGTTAGTAATCTAAATAAAGTAACAAACTAAATAACGAATCCATTTAATCTCGTGTAAGTTATAATTTATAAGAAATGCAATGTTTGGAAATGGAAATTGATTCAATACGATATTGTTAATGTATATGTAATTATAGATTAATTATTATGTATATCATATCGTACGAATGTACGATTGGTATCATTATCATACTATCATAAGTATCATTGCCTCATTGAATTATTGGTATGTACTACAATCGATAAACATATTTACATATCTGATCATTAAAACTTAAAATTTTAAAATACTTGTTGATCAATCTAATTGAATACTTGTACATTCTTAATTATCGATTTATCGTATTATAAGTATCAACTCATTAAATCATGGTCATGACGCGATCTTTAAAACAATCATGAATTCATGACCCAAACCGCTTATAAACCGAACCGACATGATCCAAACCGTTCATAAACCGAACCAATTGAACTGTGTAAACCCTCCACTAAACCGGCCCATTTCAAACTGAACCGACATGATTCGCACTGTTTATTAACCGAACCGATATTGACCCGGGTAAACCCGCCCCTAAACCGACCCATTTCAAACCAAACCGGCTTGATCCAAACCGTTTGTAAACCGAACTGACATTGACCCGGGTAAACCCGCCCCCTTAACCGACCCGTATCAAACCGAACCGACATAATCCGAATCGTTTATAA